CAATGCACACAAACCACGGCCATGGTGCAAAACTCAGGTGTGATGGTCCAGAACTCCTCCAAGTTCTGGAAACCGCTGCTGAGCCTAGAAAGGAGGCATAAACCAGCGAGCCCTGCTGCCTCCAGCAGCACAGGATGGGAAATGTTGGTGGAAAGGCTGATCTACACCTGCTGGAAATCTGGTCCCGAGCTGCTGCGGCCATCACAAGTCTTGTTCATAACCAAATACCTGCAGGTCTGTTCACGCTGACACTACGTGCAAAAAAAGAAAGAAAAAAAAAAAAAAGAAAAAAACAAAACAAAACAAAAAAAAGTCCTGCATCAGAAGGGGAAGAACGCCTCACGCTCATCACAAGCCTGACGGAGCTGTGGGCAGGAACTTTGTCATCACGGACGTGTCTTTGCAGTGACACGTGTGCTCCTATCGTCCTTCCGTGATTCGCAGGGTGTCCGCACACCATGTTGAGCCTATGGGATTTTTTTTTTTCTCATCTTCAGCATTAACACGGGACCAAAAACACGTCTAAGCTGGGAGGAGGGGATTTCTCTGAGCTGAGACGAGCAGAGTACAGGAGGGTACAGGGGACAAGAGGTTGCTCTGGGGTACCCTGAGCTTGCTGCTGTGTCCTGCTGCTCAGCATGGGCGGCCAGCAGGAATCTCCAGCAGTCCGGAGAGAGTCACAACAGCTCCCTCCCCCCAAAAGGGCATCACCGTGTTGTTTCCAGACCCACATTTCAGAGCGCCTTGCTTTCCCTTGTGCTCCCCCACCCTCGTACGGCCCCATCCCCAAGCTGGGATGCAGCGGGCAGCCTGCCGGTACGCTTTGCAGAAAACCTGGCTGTGAAACAGGCATGTGCTGAAGCAGATCCCTCCTTTCCCTCCACACCCAGCGTCCTCAGGCTGCTGCTCTGCCGAGCCAGATGGCATCCTCACCCCGGGGCACCGCGTTGGCAGAGCCCGAGGAACAGCCTGCCCGCAGCCAGGCTCACGTAGCTGCCTCCCGCAGCCCACCTGCCATCCACCTCGGTCGAGACTTCGGGTCTTTTTCGTCTTATGGCGTCTCTCTGCTGTGGGATGCAAGCTCGGGGCGTACTGGGTAACACCTAAAAACATCCTCGGCGCGTGAAAATTGGAGCGTACGTGGGAAGTTTTATAGCACGGGCTGTTTCCAGCTCGCTGGGTGATCCGCATCCTAGAAACACAGCGGACGGGATGTTTGTTTCTGCAGAGCACCCGAGTGCCTACATGGGAGCGATGCTGCGATAAGGCAAAGGCCACGGCCGCTGCTTGAGCAAAAGGCAGAGCTGGCAGGGGCTGGGCTGGAGAATTTGGGGGAGAAAATCCTCCTGAACAACCTCAGGGAGGGCAAGGCAGAGAAAAACCCTCTTCCCATGGGCAACAATTCCTTAAAACCAAAAACGTGGTGAAATACTCCCGAGCCTGCTTCAGCATCCTTCCCCGTGGAACAAGCTCGGACAGCACTTGCCAAAAATTTAGGGAGGGCTGTGGTCCAACATCATGATTTGAATTTGCCAGCTTGAAAGAGGTCACGGAGAAAAGCTGGCGTGAGGTGTCCCTGCTTTAGGGATGAGCACTTTCAAGGTGTCCGTCCAGTCCCTGACTCCAGATGGTGAAATGGGATCAGTGTCTGTGCGTGTTACCACTAACAAAAACTGCACCGGGATGGGAAAGGAGCTCCCGTGCCGTATTTCCATCGTCCTGGAGTCACTGGTGGTGATGCTGGTCTGTGTCTTCCTTGCCAGAGACGATCCTAGAAAACCCTCCCGTGGTGCTGACACCAAACCAAAACCCTGAACCTCAGCAACTCCCACATTTCGGGAGGAGCTGGCAGCCTGGTCCCCATCTGTTACTGATTTCTAACTGCACTTTGCTGCAGAGACATCCGAGCTTCCATAATGAAAAGCCAATTAAAGCGCACCATTAAGCTCAACCTTTTTCCTTCCTTGTCCAAACCTATCTGTCACAGAAAGGACACAACGACTGTAGCACAAGTTGGCAGATGCGGCTAAAAATGGGGAAGGTAAGATGTATAAGTAAATTATTGAAATGCCAGCCTGAAGTCTCGCAGACACGGCAAACGGGACGGCGACAGCCGGGGCCAGAGGCAGGCGGCCGCTCACCCTCTGTTCCAGAGCTGCAAAGCCACCCAAGCTCCCAGCAGAAGCAGATTAAACACTTTTTATAGAAGCTGGCAGTAGCTGAAGGCGAGGAGCTGAGGCTGTCCCCGGGATGCTGGGGGCATGCTGCTGATTTCTGGGCACCTGGGGGCTGGGTGGGTGCTGCACCCTCCTGCCTGCACAAGGGGAGCAACCCAGGGGTGAGACCGCCCGCGACCCTCCGGGATTCTCACTGACACTTGGAAACCCCACGGTGGGATTTAATTAGCCCGTGGAGTGGGAACAACAAGGGGAAAGCTGAAAGAAGAGCTGCACGGAGGAAGAAGAGAGAAGAAGATCCCTGTGCTCCGCCCTGGTTTGTGAATTCCAGCAGAGACCCAGCAGAACCCAAACTCCTCTGTGCAATCAGCTGGACACTTCTGACCTCCGGGAAATACGGGATTTTTCCCCTCATAAATATTCCTTCCTCGGCTGGCGTTTTCCCCCTGTTATCTCCAGATAAGAAACTGATTGAGCAGATGTAGCAACGTCAGTCCTCTGACAGCATCCCCGCAACGTGATGTATCACGAGATCATCACCAGAGCAGGGCGCATAACTGATTATTTTTTTTTTATTACTTTGGCCTTCCTAGCTGACAAAAATATCATGGAATGGAAAAACGCGTGCCTTATTTTATAGTCCTTTCAGCCCTTAAAATACACATTTAAAGACCTTTCAAAGGGTTTTGGAGCAGCACAATGGGATTTTAGCAATGCTGGGGGTGGCTGCAGGGGGCAGGACCCCCCAGCCTGCAGATGAGGAGGTCACTGCAAGGCGAAGCGAACTGTGCCCAAGCTCAGAAAACACGAAGAGCTGGAAATAGCAGGCAGAAAGCTACGCCAGTGCCTTCCTTGCAATCAGCAGACCACATTCTCAGTAAATAGCAGAGTGGATGCAAACAAACACAAATTAAGCCCATTCCTCCCTTCTCCTGGGATGCGGATGAATCATGCTGCACTGTTGTGGCTGATAAAAGTCCTCAAGAATCCAGAGGAGGAACCGAATCCTTGTTCCCTTCATTTTCGGAAGAACTCGTAAAAGGCTGGATCAAGAAACCTCTTGGCAACTTCTTCTGAGCTTCCAGCCCCCCTCGTTGCCTCCACGGCCCCAGCTGTCCTCCGTTCCTCCTCAGATCCTGCTTCAGGTTGCTCAAGCCGTGCCAGCAGTGGACTGGCTGATTTCCATGTCATCTCGTGGAAACCTTTGCACCAACCCAGGTCTTGGCAACGCAGAGGATGGTGCACTAAAGCACGTGGTCGGGAAGGTTGCTGAAGGCAAAATGAGTCTGAGAGACGGACCCCTCTGGTCCAAGGGGTGTCTGGAGGAGGCCTGAACTCCTCCAGGCTGTGTTGGCACAGACACCAGGTAAATTCACACCTTGATGAGCTTGCTGCAAGCCTGGAGCCCTGCAACTGAGCTGCTGGAGCCAAGTACGGCTCCTCTGGGGCTTCCCAAGACCTCAGCACCCGCACTGCCACCCTGCCAGGAGTATTTTCTGCGAGGAGCCTCCAGCTCAGTCCCCCAGGGCAGCCTTGCTCCTGTAGCCTTCCGACAGCACTATCAAATTCAGGTTATTTTTAGGCTCGTTTCCTAAGGAAACAAGATTAATAGGATCCAGATCCAGGCACGCCCGTGTGCTGTGTGTGAGGCAGCGTGCCTCTGCCTCTGCTCTCCCCGCATTTTGGATTTTTGGGGTGATTTCAGCTCAATTTGGTGGAGCACTGTTGATTCTCCGAAAGGCCCCTTTCTGACCAATATGGGGAAAAGAGGGAAGTGGGCGGAGGAGAAGCTTAATTTAAGTATTTCCAGCAAATAAAGGTTAATGCACCCACCAGAGTGACCCCCTTTCCACACAGCTTTTGTCCTTGCTGCCCTGCTGGGTCGTAACGCATCGCAGAGCTGCTCACATCTGCCCAGGTCCCAAAGCTCCACAGCTGGTGTCAGGGAAGGTTTTGAGACCCTGCCACCAGGATTTTGGCCAGGGAGAAGCACAGAGATTGGTACAGAGAGGTTTTTTTGTGTGTCTTTTGCTTTTCTGCAAGTCCGTAATGGGCCAGGTGGGTGAGAGGGAGGATGGCCTCAAGCACTGAGCCATTCACCTGAATAGGGTTGGGGTCACTGCATCTTCTGGAGACAAAGAGTTGCAGCTCAGCAGCCCTAAAACTTGTCTGGGAAACATTCAATGAAGCTGCAGCCACGTAGGATCAGGCCTCCAGAAAAGCAAGACAGAAATACACCGGGTCTCACCCTGACCCAAACTTGCCCGCAGCCCATTTTCAGAGCAGATGCTCAAATCCCTGTTGAGCCCAGCACCTCCATCACCCTAAAATTTCGAGGTAAAAAAGAGTTGCGGTGTTAAAAAGTCCCTTTTTCTCCTTTTTTTTTTTCTTCATTTTTTTTTCATTTTTTATTTTTTTTCATTTTTTTTTTTTCAGTGTGGGGCAGATTTATATTCAGGGTCTGATCGTCAGGTGGAGTAGAAATTCCACCATCCGCCCTTACAAAATTCAACGTCCATAAACTCCCAGATAAAGAGGGTCGGAAGCTCTGTCGCAGACAGATTTTTAAGCCGCTTCCAAAAACTTTTAGGAAACGGGCAGAGACTCCACATCGCTGCCCACTACCATTTCTTCTCTTCTTTACAGAAATCCGGATTTCCCAGCAAAGAGACGGATTCTGTCCTCGGGGCTTTGCAGGACGGGGGGGGGACGAGGCAGGGCTCCCACCCTCCGCACCTGGGGACTGGAACGGGGGTCCGGGGGGGGGGCAGAGGGGGGAGGCGGGGAGCGAGGGCGGGCCGGGGCTGGCCGGGGGAAGGCGCTCGGCGCATCCCCGACCATAAAACGGCGGGGCCAGGGCTGGGAGTGCAGAGCGGAGCACGGCACTGAACGGCACCGGGCACGGCACCGGGCACCGGGCACGGCACCGGGCACGGCACCGGGCACAGCACCGGGCCCGCAGCTGCCCAGCACCCAGCGGAGGTAACGGGGGCGGCGGGGAAGCAGGATCGGTATCCGCGTTTTATTTATTTTTTTTAATTATTTTTTTATTTTTTATTATTATTTTTTTCCGGGTCCTCCCATCCCGTCCTCTCCCCCTCCCTGGGGTGTTTTGTGCCCCCTCCCTCCTTCCCTGCCGCAGCCCCCAGCCCTGACAAAGGGCTCCTCGGTCCCGGCCCTGCTCCAGCCGCAGCGGGTGCACGGCCCCTGAAAAGAAGACCGAGGGATGGATTCCCATAAAGATGGATTTAGGGTGCTGGGAGCCAGGAGAACCTCGCCGATCCCTGTCCCGTCCTTGCAGGCTCTCCCCTGCCCGAGCTGCTCCTCGCTCAGAGCTGATTTCCACCCAAAATCGCCCTGCTACGAGCTACAAGGAGATGCTTGGCCACGAAATGCAGCCCCAGCTCTCCCTGCCCAAAAGTGCCCGTGGAGTTTTGTCCGTGCCCTCCAATTTCCCCGCAGTTTGCTTTCGGGTTCCCTTTATGCTGCTCCCCCAAAGCCGCGTGGCAGGACGTGGGGACGGCGCAAGGCTCGCCGCTGATTTTTGGCTGGGGGACCCATCCCCGCAGGGAGCACTGACCCCAAAGCTGCACCAGCATCGTGCAGGGCAGAGCTTCAGGGCAGCCCTGAGATCCCACAGGGATCCCCCTTCCCTCCGTGGCCCCAAATCCCTGGCACAGTGCATGGGCTGGCTCGGGACCCGTCTGCTGAGCCGGGTTTATGTAAGCGCTGATCTGTGGTGGCCGGAGATGTCAAAGGAGCAGCTCGCCTTTGGGAAACGCACGAGGCTGTGCCAGCAGCCCAGCGTTTGCTTTCCCTCAGAGGACATCCCAGCCTCGCTCCCCTGCTCCCCAAAAGCACTCGATGGAGACCCGAGGCTGAGCACCGGGGGAGAGGAGGGGTGTCCTCAGACCTTCCCTTTGCGTGGCATGGAAAAAAGGTGGTGTTAGACAGTGCTGCTTATCCCGAGGGCTGGGGATCAGAGATGAGAGCTGATTTCCAGGCTCCCAAGGGGACAGGGGCTGGATCCTGCGCTGCTCATTGATAGAGCAGGGGCGTTGAGCTGGCTCAGGACCCGCTGGCGAGCTTAACGCGGGCGCACGGATGTTTTCTCTCGCAGGTGGGAAGGCAGCGGTAGCTCACGATGGCCCTGGCGGACAACGCGGGCTGTGCCAAACCCAGCGAGGACTTCCCTTTCCCCGAGATCATTGAACTCAACGTGGGCGGACAAGTCTACATCACCCGCCACCCCACCCTGGTCAGCGTGCCGGGCTCGCTGCTCTGGGAGATGTTCACGCAGAAAAACGTCCGCTCCTTGGCCCGCGACAGCAAGGGACGGTTCTTCGTGGATCGGGACGGATTCCTCTTCCGCTACATCCTGGATTACATGAGGGACCAGCAGCTGGTGCTGCCCGACCACTTCCCCGAGCGCAGCCGCCTGCAGCGGGAGGCCGAGTATTTCATGCTGCCGGAGCTGGTGAAGATGCTGGCCCCCAAGCTGAGCAAGCAGAACTCGCTGGGAGACGACCCGTGCCAAAGCGACCCCGAGGAGCTCTCCCCCAGCGCCGACGCCGCACGCAGCCTGGCCCCCGCCAGCTCCACGCTCCCCAGCGCCACGGCCGGTGGCCCTGGGGCCACGGTCATCACCGGCACGGGTGCTGCCGGCCCCGATGGCCGCAGGGCTGGGTTCATCACCATCGGGTACCGGGGCTCCTACACACTGGGCAGGGACAGCCAGACGGATGCCAAGTTCCGCCGGGTGGCGCGGATCATGGTCTGTGGCAAGACGGCGCTGGCCAAGGAGGTTTTTGGGGATACCTTGAACGACAGCAGGGACCCGGACAGGCCCCCGGAGAGGTACAGCTCCAGGTACTACCTCAAATTCAACTTCCTGGAGCAAGCCTTTGACAAACTGGCTGATGCTGGCTTCCACATGGTGGCTTGCAACTCCACGGGCACCTGTGCCTTCGCCCACGACCAGACAGATGACAGGATCTGGACCTCTTACACCGAATATGTTTTCTATCGTGAGTGACACCAAAAACAAACACCCACCAAACACCAACTCTCCCTTTCCTCCCCCGTTGCCTTTAGAAGGTAGACGTCCGACCCCCGAATCCCAGCGTCCCCCCTCTGCCTCCTTTTTGAGTTCGTTCTTGGGTTTTTCCCCCCTCCTTCCTCCACGTCGAACCCGTTCGGCTCCTCGTAGCGGCTGCTGACCACCAAAACCTCCTTCCCTCTCTCCGACTTCTGCAGTAGCTCCCAGCCCTCCCCGGATGCGTGGACTTGGACAGTGCTGCGTGCGCGTTTTTTTGGGGTTGGGAAGGGGGGGGGGACACGCCGAACTGTGCCGGATGAGCTCGTGATAGATACCGAACTCGGCTCCCTGCACCATGCAGGGGCGCGCTGCAGACGAACCAAGGAGCTCAAGTGTTGGTTTAAGGACACGGAGAAAGGTGGGGAGTGGAGGGGAGGGGGGGTGAAGCCTCACAGCATGGATGTATTGCCGTTAGCCCCTGTAAGCAGCTTAGCCTTTAGACTGTCAGTGCTGGGGAGGGTTAGAGGGAGGCGCACCCTGTGCCGGCAGTTCTGGTCCGAAGCGTCGCTGCTGCCCTGGGATGCCTCGGGGACTTTTTTTTTGGGGGGGTGGGTAGGGGCTGAGAGATGCTCTGTTCATGCCTACGTGGAGGGAGGTGGGCGGGCGGGGGGAAGGCTTTTTACTGTAGGGTGTCAAACGCTTGCACATCCCTCGAGCTCATCGGAGGGCTGCCCAAAAAACAACCACCTTCGCCTCTCCTGCGGCGCGGGCTGCGGAGGGATGGGGTGGGAGCGCACCAGGGGCACCTGCTGGGCTCATGGGCTGAAGGGAATCTTTGCCCAGCGTTAAAATCGTTGCCCCTTTGGACAACATCTCGGAAGGTTTCTCCGCTCGCAGCTCTCCACGGCCTGCCTGGGCTGGCTGCTGCTTTGCCGTGCCTGGGCGATGTGTAATAAAGGAACAAAACTGACTTGCCTCCGCGTGCGTCTGCGACGCGGGTCTCGTGCTGTGTGCCCTCAGAGGCATTGCTTGAGTTCGCCTCACCCCTCTCTGCCCCCTTCTTCCTCCTCTTTGAGCCCTCTCTCCCATCCCTGCTGGACCACACTGCCCATCCCTGTCCCTGCAGGGATGCTGCTGCAAGTGGCCAAGTCCCAAATCCTCCCCCAACGTCCCCAGCTGTGCCTGTGCCTGCTGGTCCCTTGCCGAGGCTCTCAGCATCCCTGCCCCGTTCCTCCATCCCCTTCTCAAGCAGCCCCATGTGAAGCTCAGAGCTGGGGAGCCTCAGCATCGCCCCACAGGCTGGGGACCAGCCACAGAGGTATTTTTGGGGGGGGTTGGCTGGGAGGAAGGCTTGCAGCTGGTCTCGGAGGAGGTGGGAGGGCTGACATCCTCCGGCACGCGGGGACAGCCAAAACTTTGCAGCGAGGCAGTCCCTGTGCCCTGATGAAGCGGAAGGTGAAAAAATGGTATTTTTGTGAGGGCCTGTTCCTCATTGCAACAGCATTTTGAAGAGGAAACGACAACCGGCTTACAAAAGAGAAAAGGGAACTTGAGCTCTTCAGAGAGGGTGAAGGGTGGCATGAAATCCTTCTACATAAAGGCAGAGGGGGGAGCACTCTGTGTTTTGTTTGTTTTTAAGTAAGGATTTTTTAGCAATTAGCAGTGACTGGAAAAAAAAAAAGAAATTGCTGCCTTGTGAGAAACACTAGTGTTGTGATATTTGCTTTTTTTCCCCCTGGAACTGGACCCAAAAATTGATCTCACAGGATGAAGTGTTGTTTTTTTTTTTTTTTTTTTTCCTGAGGGCGAGACCGTAAACGGCAAAGTCAGCGTTGAGGCAGTGTTCGCCTGCTCAACCCGATACCCCGAGCGAAACACGAGCAGAGCACAAAGGTTTAGTTTTGAATCACTTGAGAGTCTGCCCGCCTTCCTGAAAACTGGTGCTTTGTGTAAAAATGCTGTCGCTGAGGTCGAAGTCTGTAGTGGAAGGCTGCTCTGGCAAATATGGGGCTGTTTCTTCTTCTTCCTTCCTTTTCTTTTTTTTTTTTTTTTTTTAATATATTTGGGTATATCCAATAATAGAAAAAGTGTGCTTTTGCTGCTGCCTGAGCTGGTTAATTTGTTCCTTAGGAGAGGATTTGCAGAGAAATGGTGCACGGCAGGTCTGGGGTTGGCAGAGGAGCCAGCTGCCCCAGCACGGTGCCGGGTGGCTTTGGTGGCACCTGCAGGGATGGGTTGGCTTTTAGGACAGCATAAGAAGCCCACAGCCTCCCAAGGTGGCCTCAGTGCAGGATCAGGTCCCTCGTGGAGAAATTTGGACCACGCTGGGCGAGAGCATCCTCTCTGGGAAGGCGCCTGGCCTCGCCACAAAGCCTCCCCGGCTGCTGAGCTCACCAAAAAGCCAGGGCTCTGCTTTCAAAGCAGGGGCTGAGCTTTCAAAGCCTGCTTTCCCTCTGAGGGATAATGTAACTCACCCTTTCATTTAGAGGTCCCCAGAAAAACGTCCATCCTAAAATAAGACCCCTCATTCAAACGAGGCAGAGCAGGAACCCCGGCTGGGGCCGCGCTCTCCGGCGAGCACCCTGCCCACAAATTGCTGGTTGCCGCTCGCCTGGCGTCTCGTTCCAGACAAAAAAAAACACAGGATCTGAGCATTCTTCCCTGTAAAACAGAAGTCAAATCCCATCTGTCTCTTCCACCACCCCGAGAGAACATCTGAAAACATTTTGTCTCCTCGGCCTGCCTTCAGCCCCTCTCTGAGGGAACCCTTCGGTGCCAGAAATGCCGGGTTATCCCGGGAGCTGAGCTCTGTCCACCCGGCCAGGAGGCAATACGGGTGGAGAGGAGCAATGCTGGGGGCTGGGACGAGGACTAGCAGGTCCCTGTAGGGTCCTTGCTTCAAGAGAGGGCAGAAGGTTAGAGAGGCTAGAGATCAGACACAGAAACCCCATGCACAGCCTCAACATCCCACCCTGGGGGAGGCACGAGACTGCTCTGTGTGCTGGAAGATAGAGAGGGACCTGGCTGCAGTAGCTGGAGGCTGAAACCAACCTCTTCTAATGTGAATTAAGTAAAAATAATATATATATTATATATATATATGGCCTTTAACAGCATGGGTATTCACCACCAAGACAAGCTACTGGAGAGAGGGCGATCCCCCACCTGCACGTGGAAAATGCAGCCTGCATGCTTCCCTGCAGGAAGGGGTTTAATGAAACAAGTTTTTGGAGTGTGTCTGTGTGTGCTGGAAGTCGTGAGATGCTTTGGGACGGGTGAGCAGGTCCGGCAGCAGACAGGGAGCTGCAGAAGCATTTTGCCAAGTGGGACTTGTCCAGCCTGTGCTGGCAGCTCGTCCTGAGCTGAAGCAGGTTAGGCTTTGCGACACGCAGGTGGTTTTCTTGCAAGGCAGTTAAAAATATCTCTTTTCATAGTTCTAGGTGGCGGGTGGCTGGGAGTTATCACCCCAGCTCCCCTGGGAGAGCTGTACAGCATCTGACTGAGAGATGTGCTTGTGAACAGGCTACAGCAGATTGCATCTAAATCATATTTGAGTCTACAGCACCACCCCTGCACGCCAGCTGTGTGCCCCCTCTCCCTCCTCACCCTTTTCCAGGCTAGGGACACTGCTGTAGGGTCTGCTGTGCCAACACCACCCTTAACCTAACCCCAAGGGCCCCGACAGCCCAGGGCAGCGGGACAAACCTGCCATCAGAAATTGATTTTTGATCAATTTTCAATCGTCTCTTGCAATTCTAATCAGGGGCACAAACCACCTGGTTGGTGGTGCCAGAGGGGCAGTACAAGCCCAACCTTCCAGCATTGATTTAGGAGCTCTCGCAATGTCTGATCGGGGCTGGCAGGCAGGAATGATGAGATCCTTCTGACTGCTGGAGCTTGGCCTCGCCGTGGTCCTCTCCCACCATCAGCCAGAGCTCAGGGATGAGGAGCACATTGCGTCTTCCTTCTCCAACCTGAGGTCCTTGGCACGTTCTCCCAAGACGATGCCACCCAGATGGGATGCCTGATGAGAGGAACCACATCAAAGCCACCACGAGCAGAGGAGAGAGGTTGGCACAGCCCATCCAGGCCAACACAGCTCGTCCTGGTGCCCTCCCAGAGAGCCTGGTGGTGAATGCTCCAAAGCCCACCCCAGGGACCATGGCTGGGAGGAGCAGCTCCCTACCACAGATGCCCAGATGGCTTTAGCTTAATTTCTTAAGGACAAAAGTCTGAGTGATCTCACACAGCATACTCCTTCCCTTTCCTTTAAGCAGCGTGGGCCAGTGGGACTCCAACGTGGCAATGTTTCAAGTCTTAGGAGCCTACCAGCCTGAGAAAAATAGGTTGTGGGGACTGGTACCTGGGAGAAAAGCTGGTACCCCTGAGCCCTACGTGGGCATGAGATGAGAGGTGGTCTTCAGAGGAAGAAGAGGTGGGCAGAGGGGGCAAGGTCAGTGCAGTGAGGCTATGGGAGGGCAGACTTCACCCATCCGATCTGGGGGATAGAGCAGAAAAACCTCCTATAGCTGGAGTGCCCTGGTCCAGACTTGAACCTGTTCTTACGAGCTCAAATCTCAGCAGTTTCCTACCCCTGGACAACCGATCGGCTTCTTCTCACTGTAAGCTCCGTCCAGCTGCCTTTGATCAAGCAGCTAGGGCAGCAGAGCTGCGAGCTGAGTGTTTGATACGTGCCTGGATTCCCTCACAACTGCAAAGCAAGGCACGACTGAAACAAGATACGAGCTTTGAGCTCAGCTCAGGGGCGGTTTGGAGGCTCTCGAGCATTCGTTGCCTCTCTGCCTGAGGTGGCAGCTTGCCTGCACCCACTTTCCCTTCATCCCAGAAGAGTTTGCCCCAGATCAGAGCTCAAACAGCCCTCAGGATCAGAGGGTGAGGGGCAATCCCTTGAGCTCAGCAAGGCACCCGAGCCAAGGGGACGCTCTGAGGCAGGCAGCGGTCCAGCAGACGTCAGCTCGCTGTGTTGTTAGCAGAAGGTAACCAGGCAGGGACCTGCAAAAGAGATGTGTGGTCCATGAAACCAAAAATTCTGACCTGCTCTGGGGCTGGGATAGGCAAGGGGTGGCGTAGCTGATGCCAGAAGGGCTGTGACCAGCTGCTCCGTGGCCGAAGCCCCTCTGGCTTTGCTCAGAGCCGCAGTTTTATTGGGCTCTCAGCTTTCAACTTTGTTTGGTTTTCAGTTCCGAGCTTTTTACTGTGACAAGGAAGGCTCAGAACTCAAAACCAAACAAAGTCATAAGAGTTTAAGGCTCAAAGGCCAAAAAAAGTAAATAAAGGAAACTTGAAAAAAAAAAATGTCCGGTTTTGTGTTTCAGGGTTGGCCAGACAGACGGTGTTTATCAGTACCAGATTAGCAGATACTTGCAGCCAGAGGAGCTGATGGTTTTCATTACCCCTCAGCACCCAAAGGGACATGGTCTGGTGAAAAAGGCCATGGTTCCTCACCCATCCATGGGGCACGTGGCGGAGGGAACAGCATTGGGGGCAAGGAGCCTCTTTGCATGTCCCTGTGCCACCAGGCTCCATCCCTGGCTCACCTGGGCTGGCTCCATGCTAGAAGAGCCCCCAGTCCCTGCCAGATAAATAGGAACCCCCCTGCGTTACAGTGCTTTACCCCAGCTGGGGATCACTTCCTCAGAGCTGAGGCTTTCAACCAAAAATAAAGAGCAACGCTCTCAATCCTTCCCTTCTGCAGCAGAGCAGCAGATTATAGCTCATTTAGTGAAGTCCATGCAATGACACCCTATTATTCCCATTACACCTGGGTCTTCTGGTTAATATACTGTTTTAATCAACTCAAGGGATTAAATGCTGTGAAGCTCTTTGGCTACAAAGGGACAGTGCAGGGGTGGTGGGGACGGGGACATGGAGCTGGTTGGAGGGAGGAGGAATGGGGGACGGGGCTTCCCCCCATGTTTCTGCTTCAGTAGGTAGAGCCTGTGGTTAAGGGAGAAAAAAATAAGAGAGAAATCAACAGGAAACCGTTTCGCAACCCTCCTGCCCCCAGCTCTGCTCCCTGCTCCTGCAGCCACCGCTTCCCGTGCGATCCAACAGCTCCGGCGTTTCGCCCATTTGGGAGCCACCCCAACTTTTGTAGCTTTTCTTTTATTTTCTGTGGAACTTGCATTATTATTATTATTATTATTATTATTTTAATTTCTGCACAACACAGCTGCCTTTCCAGCTTCTTGCTTGTGTGAGTGGAAACGTCTCATTTTGCCTCTGTTCGCTCTGATGGAGGGACTCCAAGTGCAGAGCAAGCGAGGGTGCGGCCACCATTTCCCGATGGGCGTTCCCAAAATATCATTGTTCTTTGCATGCCGGGAGAGGATTTAACACAAAGCCCCAGAGGAACAGAAATCAGCAAGAGGCCACGCTGCAGCCTTTTAACTCTCATTTCACCCCAGGGAACCCAAGTCCCCGAGCCCCAGCTTGGAAAGGTTCCCAGTCCTCTAGAAGTCACACGAGCGAAACGGGCCAGGAAAGTGCTTCTCAGCACGCCAGAGAGCTGAACGTGTACCAAGCACATCGGGGCTGTGATAAACGTTTGCTGCCTTGCGTCAAACACCTCCGGGCTCATTGAACCAGGATCTCCGGAGTTGTTCTCCAAGCGCTCCCCCCGTCCTCCCCCCGGGTTTTAATGCTGTTGCTAACTCCACATTCCATCACATCGTGCTTTTGCAGGCTCCAGAAGGGAAAGATTTTTCCATGTGATGGGATATCTGTGCGTTTGCCAGGAGCGGTGAGCTCTTGGCACCCGGGAGCCTCGCTGTAGGCAGTTCTCCTCCCTCTCTCTGCAGGAGCTGAGGCCATCCATCCGTCAGTGTCATGAACACGAAGGACAGGCTGCCCCGGCTCGTGTCAGGCAGAGGCTTGGCAGGAGTCAGGAAACGTTCCCTGTTCTCACATTCACTGGAAGTCACCCCAGTCAGATGGTGATGGAATACTCTGGGGAGCTCCATCCTTCCCCCTCCCTTTCCTTCCCTTCCTCCTTTCCCCCTTTCCTCCCCTTCCTTCCCTCTTCCTCCCTTCCTCCTTCCCTTCCTCCCCCTTTCCCTCTTCCTTCCCTTCCCTTCCCCCCCTCCTTCCCTCCCTTCCTCCACTCCCTTCCCTTCCCTCCTTCCCTTCCCTTCCCTCCTTCCCCTTCCCTCCCTTCCCTTCCCTCCCTTCCCTTCCCTTCCCTTCCCTTCCCTTCCTTCCCTTCCTCCCCCTTCCCTTCCCCTCCCCCTCTTCAACCCACCCCCACCTTCTATCCCACAAACTTTTCTTTCTGTAGTTAATCATTAAAAACCCTTCCGAAACCATATTTCCCCCAGATTAACCATTTACACTGAAGTTATTCCCCAGGACTTCCTACCCCCCAGGGCTATGCAGGACAAAGGGACTAGAGAGCCCGGGGTGCCACAGCCAGGTGGGAGGGAGCACTTCAGCACAAAAAAAAAAAAAAAAGTAAGATTTTAGGTACAAGCCACCAAGAAGGGACTGCAGGGTCACTAGAGGAGAGGTGTTGACGTGAACCATGGCCAAGGAGCCTTCCCCACGTGCACCTGCAGCTCCAGGCTGGTGGTGGTCACCGCAACCCACCAGCGATAAGATCAGCAGCTCTGTGTACTCTCAGAAAATTAGCAAGATCTTGAATTAGAAAAAAAAAAAATAAAAAAAAATAAAAGAAAAAAAAAAACGCATCAGAGGGGGGCTAAGACCAGCTGTGGTATAACAGCGGTGCCAAAGCATGGAAGTCCACAGCTGGCTGTGCCTTTGGTTGTCCTTTGATGGTGCAGCAGGGATGTGGGCAGTGCAGGAGGATGAGGAGGCTGCCTCGGAGGGACACTTGGTGTCCAACACAGCAGCTTTCAGCACTGTTTGAGGTGTAGGCATCTCCACAAGGACTCCAGCAGGAGCCCCCAGAGACATGTGGGCTGTAGGGGTGAGGTAAAACACTGGTGGGTGAGTGGTGCCCATCAGATGCTTTGGGCTTCTGATGGACCATCAACTGGACCTGGGCTGCACTGCCTGGACAGACGGGTTTGGGAGTCAGCAGTAGGGTCAGCAACCAACCGTCCTCCTGCAGAGAGGAATTTTGGGTGGAAATCTCCCCTTCCCAGGGCCTCTCTTTCTCAGCGTACCTTTTAACGAAGTCCTGAGGGAGGGAGATCAGCCATGAGCATGCCACACGTTGGCCACGAAGAGATGGACGGGATCCTGGTGTGGGTGACAGACCCGGTGTGGGCAGGACAGCCAGCCTGGAGCTGTGGTCCCCTTGCAGATGCCCCCATGAGGTCCCCATGCCCCTCAGGAGGCTGGGGATGCTGTTTGGGGTGTACCTGAGGCTCCCCCCTGTGCTCTGCACCTCCACGATGAGCACCAGGTTACCACAAAGGCTGCAGCTCCCACCTAGCACCCTACAAAATGGTTATGGTTATATGGTTATGTGTATGGTTATCACAGTTATAGGAAAACTTTTCTGGGGGGAGGATTTTATTCATTCGCAGTTGCTTGTGCTCCATGGCTGGAAGAGCTCGGCACCACCTGCAGATCAGCCCCTTTTTGTGCCCCCTTTGCGTCATTTTTCCCAGCCCAAAGCCCTCCCCGCGGGGGGAGGACGGCGGCCTGGATCCCAGCCCAGCTCCGCATCTGCACAAACAGGACGAGGTTTGACAGGGCTCAGCCGTTCCCTAAAATAACATCCCTACCCTGTGTTTTAACCTTTCGCAAAACACAGCCCCGGCCATTTCCAGACAGCAAGGGAGGAATTGCAGGCTCGGGTCATTTTCCGTGGCTCGGGGGAGTTTTGTTTTCTCCAGGGCTGCCTGAGAAAAGCTGCTCGTCTGGGGGCTGTCAGCATTGGCTCAGCTCGTGGCGATCTGCAGCCCCGGGGTCAGCGGGGAAACCATTCCTGGCTTGCGTTTTGGGGGCCCAACCCTGCTGCAGGGTGAGGATGGAGGCGTTTTAGGGCATCCCAGACAGAACTGGCCTTGGGGAGCACACATCGGAGACACAGTGCGGAGCTGGGGGCAGGGTAAAGGGAAAAAATAATCCAGAATAAGTGGTTTTAGACTCAAGACAGAGCCAGGAGCTCGGATCTCTGTGCGCCTGGTGTTGGTGCTTGTGGTTTTGAGCTGAGTGTGTGCTGGCAGGTCCAGATTGCTCCAAAGCAGCCCAAGCCTCGAGGCGTGGGCATCGATGGGCTCCATCCACTGTGCCAGATGCGTGCCAGGATCTAGGTGCTGGGGTTTGGTTCTAGGTTATAAGCAACAGTATCTGTAACTTGGGTGTCCTCATGGGTTTCCTGATCTGGTTTTGTTGTGAGGAGAGCAGAAGCACCCCTGGTTTCCTCCATGCACCTTGCCAGCCCTGGTACCAAGGGGTTTCTTACCATGCAGCCTGCGAGGTCCACCGCATGCAGGTAGCCCACCAGCATGCAGACAGCCAACCCAAATTGCACCAGCAGCAAAGCAGAACTGAATTTACTCATTAAACACCAAATTGCACAAAGAGGGGGTCGATTTTCCCAGGGCGAGCTGGCGGAGCCACTGCACCCCCCTCTTCACTGGGCTCATCAGCCTCCTGAGCATCCCGGGATGAGCTCAGGAGCACACACAGCAAATGGCTGGGGAAAATACAAAATAAAAAATAATAAATAGCTAAAATAATTAATTAATTAAAAAAACAACGCCCAAGCTGATAACACCAGCCCACAAGCATCACACTCTGCAGTTGCAGTCGCACAAACGCCCTCCGCCCACTCCCCATCGCTCGCTGCCCTTTGGAGGTTTCCTGCCTGAAACGGTCCCCGCTAGGCTTGGCTGCAGCTCATACAGGAACTACACCCTCATCTTCTGAGCGAGGCTTTGCAGCTGAGAAATGTCGTCTAGCTGAACTCAGATGTCAGCAGATGCACAGCTGGCTCGTTGCTCCCAGAGCAGCTCGCTGCCGGCGCAGCACGATGCACGTACAGCGTGGGGCACCCCAAAAGCAAGGGGACTGGGAGCTCACTGAAGAAGCTGAGAAGTTGTCCTGCACACCTGAGTGCAAAATGGGCCAAAAGTGAGCAAATAAAGCTGAGAAAAGGCCTGTGCTCTGCGTTGGTGGGACGATGCAATGCCAGGTCGCGACGTATTTGCAGCATCCTCGGTGGAGGGAGAGGTGGGTGTGCTGCTCTCAGCCTGGTGCTGGGACTGCAGTGCCCTGCCTGCCTTGGGCTGCTGAGCTGAGAAAGATGTTGAGGAGCTGGAGGAAGTCCAGAGGAGAAGTACGAGTGATAAAATGAGGTTTAGTAACCATAGCTTATTAGGAAATGCTGGAGGAGCGGGGTTTGTTTAGTCTAGAAAGGAGAAGATGTGAACTGCCGCAGTTCATCATCAGGCAGCATTTAATTATAAGATGGACGCTAATCAGTTTTAATGCAGGGTCACGGGAGAAAGGCCAAGAATAGAAACACTGAGGTCACTACGGAGGAGCGGCTGGGCATCACTAAGCATTTTCTGTCCGCTGCAGCAGTGACGGGCAGCACCAGAGAGGCAGGTCCCTGGGGAGGGCACACGGCTCCTTTTTGGGGACAAGCACCCAGCAGAGGTGATCCCTAGGATCCCAGCATCCAGGAGCAGGGAAAGGGAAGGGGAATCCACCCATCCACTCCCTCTTCTCAGCAGCCCCGTGCTGATGGGTGGGCACGGGGATCAGACCACCTTGGAGCCCCACGAGGAGCAGACGCTGCGCTCTCGTTTCCGTCCCAGCCTTATCTCTCATCTTTCTGTTTTACATCACCTTCCCTTCCCCGGCTCTGCCAGCACCTCCCTGCACACCCCCGTGCTGCTGCTGCCTAGGAGGTCTTCTCCTGAAACCCATCTCCACCCACGGCCCTATCTGAGCTGGCATCTCCTTGGCTGCCTGCAGAGGTGGGGGAAATGTGCAGATTTAGGCACCCTTATCTTTTTTCCTGGCCATCCCACCAGGATATTCGTACCAATGCCTGCCCTCACCTACCTGCACAGCCAGCAAGGAACCATCATCCAGCTGTGCTTCACCATTTATACCATTTTACATCTCATCTGAAACAAAATCCAGTGGGTTTTGTTGGTTTTTTTTGTTTGTTTGTTGGTTTTCTTCTGAAGACTAGAGTCAAATAAAATTTAAAAAAAAAAATATCAAGCCATTATTTAAATAATCGGAGGCTGGGAGCTCAGTGACACCGATTTAAAGGGATTTAGCTCCAACCTCAAAGCCTGGCGGGGCTGCAATTTTCTGATTAATTCTCCCATAAACAATGGGAGGGGAGGGGGGAAGCCTTGCTCCTGTTCCTGCTAAAGCTTGGGTTCGGGATCACCAGTGCTCTGGTTGCTCAGGGTGCCTCCCCTGGGCTATGGGGTCGGTGTTAGGACCCCATATACCAGAAGCCTTCAGTACAGGGCATGGGGTTAACAAATTTTCTGCACCAGGTAATACTTGATGATGGGAGCAGATCTGGGAAATGCTGCTTGTGCTTAAGGAACCAGAGAAAATATTTTAAAATTACTGATAGAGCTGTAGAAGAGGGGTGGCTTTTCCCCCATCACCTGCCCCTTCTCTGCCCCCGGCAGGTCCCCTGCCCATCCCCACCAGGCTGCACCACCCTCGTCAAATTACTGCTCCTGTCTCAGAACATGGGCTCAGCCCTGGCCGGATCCAGTAATCACATCAGATCTGAAGGACGTTAAGGGAAAACCGAAAAGCTTTCTAATAATGAACAAGCCCAGGGGGATTAAGCGCCCGGGCCCATCTAGCGATGATACATGGGCAGGCTGAAAACGCAAACTATTACATTAGGGAGCAAGACCGGAGAGGATTTATCAGCCTGGCTCCGTGTCCTGCTTCTGGCAGTGCCTGGCAGAGATGTTTCAGCCCAAGGTGGAAGAAACCCCAGGACACAGCTGTCTGGTCTGTGCTTGCCTGCTCGGGGGGATTCCCCCAAACCTCGGTGTGCGGCGATGCCCCAAACCCCTGAGCATCGTGGTTTCCATCTCTTATCACCTCCAACCTTATCTCACCTAATTTTGGAAGGGGATATTTCTGTATTTCTTAAAGTGGGCTTTCCATTAAAACCCTGTGTTTTTATGATTGTAGCAAAGCTTCAATTGGCTTTCTCTTTCCTTTTTCTTCTTGACTCCCCTGTCGCACCCCCCTCATTGTAAAAACCTTCATGCCTTTCATGAAGGGCTTTGGGCAGACATTAATCTTTTCTGTCTGTCCCTAGGGGAAGTGGCCAGCACCAAAATGAGAGCCCAAGCCTATTTCCTAAGGTTTTAATTTTATATTTTCTGTGGTTTCTCATCCCCCTGCCCAACGCAGCCTGCTGTCTGTGCTGAACAAGCATTTCTTCGTCTGCCCAGCGCAGCACTGGGGTCTTGCCTTATTTTCCTTTCCCCTCCTGAATCTCTAAGGCTGATTTAAAACCCACCAAGGTGCATGAAAAGCTCAAGCGATGCCTTCTCACACACATTGCTTTTTACTGCTCAGCGTCTCAATTAACCTGCCGGCAGGCTCTTCATTAGCGCGCCTTCGTTAAGTCCCCGTGCAGCTTCCCTGGCCTCGGCCAGCTGATATTATTCTCGGTTCTCTGCAAAATTTTTCCACTTGACTGTTCACCCTTTCTCCTGCATCGTTAATAAAAGATTTTCATCCCAAGATGGACTCTCAGGGATGTCCTATTATTATATTATTTATATGTTGAGAATGAACTCTTGATTCCATTTCTTCTTTTCTCCATCTTATTAAGCTTTTAATACACTGTGGAAGCTAGACAATCCCCCTTTGGCTATTGAGTTTCCTTAAAAGCCTCTTTGATGGCCTTTATCAAAAAGCACTCAGGAAAATGTATTAACTGTTCTCCATTATCCACTATTTTGTTGACTTAACGTAAGACGAATATTTTTTCCCCCTGCATATTAGGAGCACGCAGGCGGTTTTTAATTCTGCCTTTAATTATCGTTGTGATTTGCCTGCTATGTACCAAGGTAGTTACAATTCCTAAATGGAGCCTTGCAAACACGCTCAGGTGAGCCATGTATTGCTGAAAAAATGCAGGTTTGGGGTTAATTAAGACTAGTTGCGAATACATCAAAAATACAAGAAACAGTGATGAAAGAATTTTTTGTCATGTAAAAAACACATTTCCTTCTACAGCTTTAAATGAAGAATTTTATTCCCTTCTTTTCAAATAATATATCAAGATTAAGTGTAATTTTAACCTGCCTCTCCACATTTTATTAACTTGTTTCTAGGGAATATTGCTTTTCAGTAGCAACCAGCTAAAACCAGAGAGAGAGAAATGTTTTGTTTCAGCTCACTATTCTTCTGAAAGGAAACCAAATGAATTAACAATCCATCTGGGGCTCTTTCATAGGCATCGCCCTCCTGCCCAGCAAGCACAAAATTCCTACAGCTTTTTAGGGATGAAAACCAGCGGCTGTCCTCCAGGGCTCCCTCCTAAGGAGGGATTTCAGTGAGAAAGCACCAAAGTGTCCCAGGGGGCTGGGCTGGGGGCAGGTTCACCTGCTCAGAGATCTTCCTCATCCCAGGGCAGTAGCCCATTACCTTGCCCCTGTTCCTACTGAACAACTTTGGAAAACATTTTCCCTTCAAAAAATGGTCAGATTTTGTTGGTACAAGGGCATCTCTTCAAGCAGAACGGTAGATGGGTTTGTGCTGACCCTTTTCCCAGGTTAAGGTGGGGGTCTCAGCTTACTTGTCCTTTCGAAGCAGCATGAAATGCTCTGGAGGGATGCAGCAGGGTGTCTACCAGAGGCACTCCAAGACAATTCAGGTTAAACCTGGCTGGGTTCATGGCACACGCCCAGGGGAAATTCTCTGGACATCATTTTTCATGCGATGGGTGCTCTCCCTTTCCCTGTATACCTCCTCCAGGGGTGTGCTTGTGTGAAGGGACGTCACCAGAAACTCATCATGGTGTAGTATAAAACCATCCCCACACCTTCTCCTTTTCTTCTAGGTCCTGTTGTGCGAGGCCAGCTCTCCAGGCAGCTCTCCAGGCACAGCAGCCTCCCAGGTAAGGGCACCCCAAGCGATGCTCCAGGGCAAGGCTGGGAGGGGGTGAGGGTGAAGGTGGGCGTTTGGGTCTGCCTGGGCAAGGAGGTGTCCCGAGGGGCTCAAGGAGCTGAGATTTGGTGCTGAGGTTCCTTGTGCTGCTCCTGATGGCCAGGTGAGGCAGTGCTTGGTCTGCAGGAAGAGGTGAAGGGACTGTGGTGTGTGTCAGCCAAACTGGGTTGGGGACCAAGAATGGGGCTGAGTCAACACATTTCAAAGGGGACTTTGAAATCCTCCCAGATCCTAGGAATTAATCTCTTTGAATAGTGGTCAGAGCTGGGTTAGCAGGAGAGGATGCAGGAGGGAGAGGTAACCACCCCTCATCCCTTTAGTCCATGAGCAGGGACACTCAGGAGGATGTTCCAGTGAGCAGCTGTGTACGTGGGGATGCTGAGCAGTGGGCTGATAAGAATGACACTTGAAAGCACAGCCTTGCATCACTCAGCTCGTGCTTGCCTCCTGGCACTCCGCAGGGAGACCTTATTCTGCACATTCCTTGGCTTTGGGGAAAGGCTGTAGTCCAGAACCACAGTCATTGCCCAAAGGATTTATGCTCCTAAAAGGAAATGGAAAGGGGAACGTTTCAGATGTAACATGGAGGAGAGGCTCCCCAGGGTGGGATTAGGCTCTGGCGGATTTTCCAATGAGTAATGTCAAACTTTCTGGGTAGGAAGAGGCACAAAGAGTGAGAGAAGGGTGAAGCAGGAAGAGACCTTTGCAGGATGCAGACTTTGTCTCCTGGAGGGGGCAGGGTGGTTTTGGCTCTCTGCAAACGTCTTCATCTCTCTATGGCTCACTTTTGGAAAGTGACAATGATGCTTCTGCTGCCCACTCTGGCTGGAGGTGGGTTTGAACTTATGGGCTGGGTCCCTGGCGTAAGGGATGGGGGGCTCAGCTGGAATCAAGAGCCTACATGCTGCGTTTATGTGTACTGGGACAGCCTTTAGCTGATGTAATGGATGGAGCTGCAGTTATTTTGGCAGACCTCATTTCCCCAGACTGACACTAAAAGAGGAGGGAAAGCCAGGAAATCTGGTGTAAAACTCCAGGAGGAAGAGGCTCACCCGGAGCGAGTTGCTGTTTTGGCTGACCCCAACACCCTCACACATCTGGACAGAGGTTCTCCAAAATAAGACAAGAACTTCTGGAAGGCAGAGAAAGAGAAAAAAACATCTCCCTGTTTCTTCTTGCCTAGAAGCTGAGACTCCACTTGGAAGGCAGAACCCATGCCACACGGTCAAGGCATCTGCTGGAGTGGGCGACCCAGATCCACGTCCCCTGCTCTGTATGGGCTCCTCCCTTTGGGGTTGAGCAGAACATTTGGTTTAGCATGAATAAAAAATTCCAGTTTGCTATTTCCCCCGGTACATTAAGAGTTGCAGTCACCTTTCCTTTCGCCTTCCCGACGCTGATATCCCTAGCTTGGCCAGCACTGAGCAGTCTCCTGGTCCTGGCTGGGATCTCCCAGTGACACCATTAATTTGTGGAATTTCTGCTTGGCAAAAATAAATAATAAATAAATAAATAACTAGGAAGCGAGCACAGTCACAGCTGTATGGAAACTGCCAATGGGTCTGCTTTCCAGAAGGTGACTCCTGGAAAACACATAGAAAAGCAAATTCCTGTGTAAAGAAAGACAGCTGGAGGCATTTGTGTGCAGCAGACACTGCCAAGGAGCCGTCGCTGGGAACAGCGTGTGCACGTGCATGGTCCTGCTGGAAATGACTTTCCCAGCCTTTCCTCGGTGCCTCCGTACGAGCAATGCCTTGGTGCTCTTGAAGGGCCCTTCCACTTTGCTCACAGGGTCTGTGGCCAGGAGCAAGAGGGTTTTCCATCAGCTGGTGAGATGCAGCCCAGAGAACAAGGAGCACCGTGGTGGGGAGATGTCCTCCGTGCAAAAGGTGGTGCCAGCCAAAGCAGGGGGACTCCTGCTTTATCTGCTGGAGACGTTTGCCTCCTTGTGGAAGGAGGTTGGCAGCGGACCAGCCAAAATTGTATTTCTTTAATAAGCACATCCTCATGATTCAGCCCTGGCAGAGGGACAAGCCAGGCTCTGGCTGAGCCCAGGGGAGAGCTCATTGCCTGGCGTCCTTCCCCATCCCCTCTCCTCTCCCATTCTGCTTTGCTAGAGAAGGATTTAACCCAGCCCCAGGAGCACCAGCCCCTTGCTGCGTCCTGAGCATGGGATGCAGAAAGCAGCACGTGAATTACGATGACTTTAACTAGCATTTTATGGTTTCAGGCCCATCGCTTCCAATCAAGCCACAAACTGGTTGTGATATACAGCCTGCCTGTCTGTTGCACATAAGGCATTGATTAAAGAGCAAGCTGAGCTAATTGGTGCTGAAGTCATTGCTGTTAACACACGCGATCCCTCGTGTGCCTGTTGCACTCTGCAGCACAGCTCCCGAGACACCATGCTGCACGGCGTCACGATGAGGTTGGGTTTTTCTTCCATCGGGAGATCCTAGTTCAGTCCTGAGCCTGCTCCCACGTCTCCGCGTGCCCATCGGGGCGTTATTGCTGCTCGCTTCTCCCCCTGGTCACTGGGTGAAATCCTGGGTGCTGCAAATGAGGCAAATTTCTCTCAGCAGAAATTCCTCATCCAGGCCCTTCTGTATCAACTGCACGTAAAAATTAATTAATTAATTAATTAATTAATCAATATATACCTGTGAAGAAGAAAGAAGACATGGAATTTTCTACCTCATCTTTGCCTCCAAGCAATTAAGACGAATTAGAAAGGTCCCCCCAGCTGTGCAAAACATCTGCAAGGAGAAGCACTCACCCCCCAGCTGGCCGGCACGCCGCCGTCTCTCCTCCTCCTTCCAATCCTATTAGTATTAGAGAGAGATAGAGCTATAACAGGAAAAGCCACCTCTTAGCAGCGCTGCTGACAGCTTGCCTTTTAAATCTTTAATAAGAACTGGCTTGCACGGCTGCTCTCATCTGCTGCGTGACAGCGCGGGGAAGCCAAAACCCAGCGGCCTGGCTCCTGCTGGATCTGCTGGAGGCTGCTGGGGAGCATCACTCATTAAAATGCATTGAGGGGTCCTCAGCCTTTTCCATCAGAAAGCCTCTCCTCTCTATCTATATTGCCAGGACTTGCATTCAAGACCGTGTTTCCCAGCCCCACGTGGAGGTGGTGGGTGCTCTTCCCTGTGCCCTACAATCCAGGGAACCTGTAACCATGGGGCAGAGGGGACAGACCTGCCAGCAAAGGACATAATCCACCGTGACGGCTTGGCAGCCAAGCTCTGCCTGCCCAACCCACACAGCTCCCAAAAGTGTTTGCAAGAGCCCCTTGGCCTTGAATTTGGCTCAGGCTTCCTCCTCCAGATCTCCATTTAGGACTGCGGACAGAACGATGGAAAGGGTGCAAAAATAGCTGCCCCGGGACATGAATTAGACCCTGTCATGGGCTCACTGACAGACGGTGACCACAAAGACTTTTCCAGAGTCTCTGGGTGAAAATTATTGTGATGGGGAGTAGAAGGCCATGTTTGCAGCTCAGGAAATCGTCAGGAATTGACTCTCAGAAGCCACAATTAACGAGTGGCAATAGGCAGGGGGTGTGCTGGGGTTCTGCTGCCCTCTCCTGGATGCAGCATCTTACTCTGCCCCATGAGCTGTTGGCCATGGTGCATGGAGCTTGGCCATGGCCCATGACATCCTGGCTTCTGGCAACCACGAGCCATGGAAAGCTGCTCACCTTCTGTGGTGGTCTTCATCTGGTTATCAGCCGCTTTCAGGTGACCCTCGGCACATGGGTTTGGGAGAGCTGAGACCCCTGCCGTGAAGATGAGCAGCGGCTCGAAGCCTGAAAATTGAGTTAGCAAGAGCATCGGTGGGGACCTTCTAGACTCTTCTAGACCCAACCTGTTTTTCCATCATCCTATATAGATTTGTAGAGTAAAAAAGGGGAACAACAAGAATGAGAGCGTGTGGTGGACCGTGCACAGATGTGTCCCAGTCTGACCTCACACCAGCAGTGCACACCACAGCCTCTGCACAGGTACACGGGCAGCCCAGAGATGCCAATCCCAAAGGCTTAGGGTGGGGATTTCTAGCAGATGTGCCCCGCAGAAGCTTGTCCTGCAAAGACACAGCCACTGTCACGGCACAGCACGTGGAAACGAAGCAGCCTGGGCTTACTGCAGTGCAGGTCAGCGTTTGATCCATCTCTGAGGCTGGGTCCTGGGGAGGAAAATCCCTTGCGTGGGGCAGGAACTACAGCTAGATCCAAAGCTACAGCTGTGCTATACAGAGCCGGAGCACCAGCCTTAGTCTGGGATAAACACTCCTGTATTTTGCTAATTCACCACAAATGTAGAATTACCTTGGAAGCCAGTGATATAAAGGGCTAGGAGACAGTCAGAAGAAGAGCCTGGAGTAAGGAGGGAGAATGGCACGGTGGGAGGTGTTAGAGGAGCTGCTCCACGCTGAGCTGTCACCATCAGGAGGGGGCTGGGAGGCACTGGGGGGGACCGCAGCAGATGCTGTGCCCCCATCACCCAGCGAGGTGCTCTGGGAGGTGCCCCAGATGCTGGTGACAGCCAGGTGTGGAGCAAGGCCACCACTCACGATCCTTACCCCCCACTTTCATGCTCCCAGTACATCACTTGACTGCTAAGAGTTTCTTCTCTTGATCATGATTTTTTTTTTAGGTAGTTCCTGGCTTAGCCTGCCTGTTCCTGAGCCTTCAGAAATAGAGCAGAGCCCCAAAAAACACATGTCTTCCTCAGAGCCCATCCTGGACCTCAAGACAGATGCAGCAGAAGCCCTTCCAGGTGAGAACCACGCTGGGTCCATGTGCTGGGTGCCTGCAACTAAACACAGGGCTCACCCTGGTGGAGCTGCACCCAGCAGCAGGCACTTGATCGGGGCACGCACGTGTGTTCACACCGAGCTTTCAGCCGCCCTGAACCTGAGCTGCTCTGCTTTAGCTCCTGTGACCGTAACCTTTATCGCTGGAGGGCATCTTCTAGGCCAGGCAGGGTGAGGGCTCCACTCCAAAGCATCAAACCTAGGCAAGATCAGCCCTCCGAGTCACCCCCCTGCCCAGGCGAACCTGCACCACTCTGCTAGAGAGCAGTACCCACCTGGTGGGAGTTCCCAACAGGAGACACGAAGATGCAGGTCCCAGCGAGAGGACCTACTGCTCCACCAGGTCCTCCCATCTTTTCTTTGCTCGTTTAGAGGGAGGGAAGCAGACACCCAGCTGGTGGCCGTTCACTTCTGGGGCCTCTTACCACGTAAGTTCTGCTATGGTGTTTCATAGCCCATCACCAGGAGAGCCTAAGAACCCTTTTTCTCACCCAAATATCAACTCCAGACAATTTTTGTGCTTCAATTGCATAATCTACCTCCTCTACAACCATTTCAGAGCCATGAGAGCAGGCAGTCCCCTGCTGTCCCACCTGGGGACACATGCCATGACAATTTGCCATGGCTGAGAGCAAATTCCACCCAGACCCAATGCGACAACCCACACCGTGCCAGCCACCCGAAGATACTTTGGAGAAACTCCATCTTGCTGGGGTTCCTCATGCAGCAGCTGGTGACAATTTGCTCCGGGTAGACATTCCCCAGACTGGGGAATTTTCCCTTGGAAAACCCTCCCGGCCTCTTGCAGCCTGGGCAGCTCAGCACAAGGAGGGCTGCTCCTGGCAGGCACCTCTTGCAAAGCGTTCGCCATGCACAATATTAGCAATTAATTCCTGCCAAGAAATAAGGAAAGCTGTTTTTGCTTCGTGCAGCACGCAAACCCCGAGCCCAGATGTTTTGCTGATGTGGAGCTGCAGCAGAGTGGCTCCACCACGGTGCTGGGATTTGACCTCTGGTGCCTGAGTTTGCTTTGCCAAAACACAACGTGTTACCAGCCATGTCCCCACCATAAAGCACTCAAAAAGCATGATTGAGCAAAGCAATCCTGTGAGTCTTGGTCTGATAAAGCTGCTGACCATGCTCAGAAAAGATCACCCCAGGGCCTGGGGCATCCCAGCATCAGGGGAAAGCAAAATTTCTGCCTTCCAACAGGGATGGGGTGACACTTTTGGGGCCCCTTGGGGGGTTGCTGCTGCTTCTCCCCAACCCCATGGGTGGCCGAGGAGGAGCAGTGGTGTTATCATTTGGGTGAAAGTCATCATTTAGGGTAAGGATGTCCTGGGTGTCTGGGCTGCACAGACCCCCCTGAGCAGCAAATGTCCTCCGTAACCAACAGCAGAGCTAGCACCCCTCACAAACACCACCAAAAAAAAAGGTGTGTTTGGGAAACGCAAACGTTTTCAGAGGGTTGGGTCGGAATTGCAGTGCTGGCTGTGAGCACATCTCCATCATTTACACGCTCCCCGAGCTCTTTTTGTCACCGAGGGGCCTGGAGGAGTGGGGGGACGGAGCTCTTGCCCACCACAGATTGCCTACATAGGCAAAAAAGAAACAAACCTGAAATCCCCGAGCCCCGAACCCACCTACCCTCCTCCTGGCAGCAGAGGACAACCTGACGGATAGGGAAAAAAATCTATCGTTTTGAGATCAAAAATCTGGATTAGCGTTTCAAGGCTGCAGGATCGGATTGTTTCAGACATTTTTAGAACATGCAAAGCAGAAGCAGAGCTGGTGCTGACAAACATATTTATATATATATATATATATGTATTGCTCCACAGGGGATAGAAGGGGCAGTTTGCTTTCAGCATGGAAGTTGAAAAACGAATGTCTGTCTGTCTGTCTGTCTGTCCTGGTGCTGGCACCCTGGTCCCACGGGGGTTGCTATAGCAGTTAATCCATGCACAATGTCACCAGGGCTGCGGATTTAGCAGCAGCCTTCCCTGGCACAGCCAGGCTAATTGAGGCTCTTGGGAATGCACGGGCTACTGCTGCGGGCAGATAGGGTCAACGACATTTATTTATGCAGAGTCTTGTCCTTCTTTGATAAAATAAGGGGGATTAGAGCCAGCCAGGAGTGCAGACATCACTTTTCGGGCTCAGCTTGATTTTTCAATAATCAATTTGAGCAGGGGCAAGACCTGAGATTCACGGGGATAAGGAGCTTGCGGCTATTTTGCGTCGGGCGTGGGTAGGCTGCAGGTACACCCTGTGCATCCCAGCCTGTCCTGCTGGCCATGGGTTCACTCCAGGCAGGCACAGGCTGACATTTTCCAGGCAAACTGCTCTAATATATAAAATTTCCAGGATCTGCATCCCTGCATGATTTCTGGTCACAGCTCCCCATCACTAGGCAGAGAAATATTTTCATGAGAAATATTTTGAGCAAAGAATAAACCTGTTTTCCTGAATGCACTTTTAGGGCTAGCAAAACTCTGGCTGAAGCAAATGGTTTAGGTCCCTGCCCCCCCTCCTCCAGGCACACGCAGGTGTACAAACTAAATAATCTCTTCCAGCCCTTGTTTTGAAACTTTTCTCCATCTCTGTGTCACAACATGCTAAATCTGAGAGGCTAGGAAGGAGTTTAATAAGCTTGTAAAGGAACTGGGACATCTTTGTTTGACCTCAAGCAATGTGTTGTTGATGTTTTTTTCACTTAAAATCTGAAAGAAAAAGAACCATGGAAATAAAGCAGTAAAATAAAAACAACCCGAGATGCACAAAGCTCTGCTGCTACCCATGGTGGGGGGTTCCCTCCGATGCCCATCTCTCCATTGGGATGCCCAATATGGGCTCAGATAATGTTTTTGGTTGGGACAAAAAGAAGAGAAGACCCTTCTTTTCCCTTCTGGGGAGATTTGGGTGCCTGCAACAAGTAGAGGGAAAGGAAGAGTGATCCTTGAGGCCAAGCCCAGTCTGAGCTGAAGATGTCCCCATTGTGATGGGGAAAAATCACAGGAATGAACTGCCTCTTCACCTGTCCTTTCTGGGACCTTCCAACAAAACCCTCCTAATGGTGTTTTGCCACAAGATATCTGGCTCATTGTCTTGTCTGCAGACCCTTCCGTCCTGGGTCTTTGTTGTCAATTGGCAAAGGAGAGCTCTGATTTCTTCTGGAGCTGGAAGCATTGACACAGAGCAAACCAAATGGAATGAGCCGGGGCCCTGGGCTCCTGGCACATGGCGAGTTCATCTCCTTGTCAAGTGCTCAGAAGAGAAAAAAGTGCTATCCAAAAAAGCAGCAAGGGGCTGGGACAGTGTGTGCTTCCCCTGCAAAGCACCGGCTCACCGTGTGCCGGAGCCCGTTAATTGCACTCAGCAGGATTTCCAACAGCACCTATGGGGCTGCATCGGACATGTCACTTCTGCACTTTAATTGATGCTCTAAAGCAGACAGAAGTGTCACACGGGAAGCAAAGTCTGAGAAAATTAAAAAAAAAAAAAAAGGATGACAAAATTAGACTACATATATTCCTCCTGGCTGATGGCTGGAGTGCTGCGAGGCGTGCTGGGATCAGCTCAGGAGCTGTACCCACATATTGCTGGGCACAGGGGTTCTGGCTGCTGCAGGCCAGGAACACAATGTGAGGGAAGCTTAGCCCAAGGGAAAATTAAGGTATTTGTACAAAGCTGCAGAGAATTTCAGTGGAAAAGAAATATCCAGGAAGACTCGGACTGCCTCAGAGCCCGGGGCATTCAGTTTCAGGTTTGGTGCAGGTCAGACTCCAGCCAAAGTGATCCCCACACTCCTCAAATCACTAACACACAAAACCAAAGCACACGCACATATCCTAATAGGACATTCCAGGCTTTTAATCAGGGTCAGAAAGACTGATCTCACAGAAAGTCTTAGGCGAAGACTCCTAAACCCAAGTATCTTATCCTAGAGATGGGACATCTGCTGGTGGCCAAGACAAACTTCCTGTCCCTTGACATCTGCCTGTGGTTGGATCCTGCAAATTCCAGCCTGGAGCTAAATTTCCTTGGAAAATCTTCGTGGCTCTTGGCTCCCCTCCAGCCCAGTGCAGTTTGGAAGCACATGTGCCTGTGCAGGTGATCTCAGGCTGCGATGTTTGGCCAGGATGCTTGGCCAGGAGGAAGCTTGTGTTTCATCGCCGTTCAGGGGGAAAACCAAAACCTGCTGAGATTTGCATTTCTCGCTGTGTGCAGGAGCATTTGTGCAGATGTTAGCATGAGAAGCAGCCAGAGCAGGCTGTGAGAGAACACGTCCTTGGTGTATGAGGTAAAATAACGCTAAGTAAATCGTTTATGGGCAGTTAATGAGTATTTCCAAAGACCAGTCATTAAGAGTCATTAGCTACTTTATGCAAAGTGCCTCGGCCACCTGGAAATGGCTTAAACTACCTCATCATGCCTAAATTAAAAGAATTACGCTGCTGGTACCTGCAAAAGACCTGGACAAAGTTGTGTACTGATGTGGGGACTGGAGAGGCACAATGACTGAAGATCACCAGTCCCAAGAGACACCTTGGCCAACCCATACCCAAGCAGGGGATTTGTCACCCCACTCTCCTGCTCTGCCCAAGCTCAGCAGCCTGCCAGGGGTCTCAGGCTGTCCCCAATGCAACGGGAATGAAGTGAGAGCAGATGGCTTGCAAGAATGTGGAGGCTGCAGGTTTGCAGGCTGGCAGCTGAATTTCAGCCCAGCCTTTCCAGACCACACAAAGCAAATCAGTGTGGTCTGGCACGGAGAGTACACAGGAACAGCACCCAGGGGACCTGGGCTTCATTCTCAGCCTGGTGACCTTAACAAGTTATCTCACCTCTCTGTGCCTCAAATGGGAGTAATGTGATGCAAAAAGTGTTGAAAGCCTTAGAGAGAAACTGCTGTGCTGAGCTAGCTATCATCGTTAGATGGTCTTGGAGCGAAGAAGCAGGAGAAGAAATGAAGAGATTTGAATTCGGTCTCCAGCTAAGCTCTAGGCTCCCTGTACGAATTTGGGTTCATCAGCTTATGTTCCCCCTGCCTCGGTGCCCCATTTCACCAAGGCAACTGTGAGGCTTTCAGATAAGATGATTAAAGCAGTATAAGAACTTGGAGATTTTATTCCATCACTCAAAGAATTTGGGGCTAAGATACATCCTTGTAACTTCCCGGAGAGATTTGACGAAGAAAATCCAGCCTTCAAGGTTTCTCCTCAGTGACGGATGACATTTCAGCTTTCCACCTCTAGTAATTTTTGTGCTGGAGCAGTTGAAGCAAATGTCAAAATAAAATAAAAGGGGGGAAGGGAATAAAATAAAAAAAAAAGTTTTCAGGAAAAACTAAAAATTCACCTTGACATTTTCTACTTCCGTGGGGGACAAAGTTTAGGTGGAGGGATTTAAAATAGAAATATTTTATACCCTGCTTTATATCTCTGCTAGCAGATGCACTAAAAAAGTGGGGGAAAAATGCAGTAGGTTAAGAATTCAGATATTTTAGAGAAAAAAAATGCCCAAGTGAGCTGAGCTGTCCCCCAGGTGGCTGCACCCCAGCTTTACTCCATCAGGGAACTGTGCAATGTCCCACTCTTGTGCATTTCTCTGCTTCCCTCCTGCAGCCCGCAGCGACACTGGGGAGCCCAGGCAGGGCCAGGAGACGAGGCAGGACCCCCCCAGCCCCAGCGGTGGGTACAACGCTGCATCCCCCAGCACCAGCAGCCACGGCGAGCCCAGTCCCACTCCATCCACGAGTGAGAGCATCCCAAAAGACCCCAGGTCGGGACAGGATGACCCCAGCCCTCCTGGCTCCACACCTCAGCCAGAAGCCCCCGAGGAGTGCCCCGCTCGCCCCAACACCTTGGACTTCTCCAAGCCCCTGAAGAAGCTGGAGGAGGTGAAGGAGATGGGGCAGAGGTGTAACAGCGACCATGCAACGGTGAAGGAGAACGGGGTGGGGGGCAGCCCCGTGGCCGCGGGGCTGAGCGAGGAGAGGAAGGCGCTGGAGTCGGAGCTGGGGAAGTGCATCGAGGACTTCCGAAAGATCAAGATCCCCCTCGCCTTCCCCAACAAGAAGCGGCAGTGGCAGAGTGAGCTGCTGAGGAAATACCAGCTGTGAGAGGAGAGCTCGTCCTTCTCTCCGCTCGTGTGCGTGGGTGGCCGGGGATACCCACAGGCCTGAGCAAGGAGCGTAGGTTGCTCCTTCAGCCCCATCCAGTGAGCAAAAGGGTTGTAAGCCTATACCCACGACAACATGCTCCTCACCGTGGCCATCAGGAGGGACGTGTGATGTCCCAAGGGGCACAAACATAGCTGCAGGGACACAGAAAAAGGAAGGAGGCCTGGGGTGAATTGTCAGGGCCAAAGCTGCCATCCAGCAGAAGCTCTCGTGTTTGTAAGAATGAATTCTTGTGGCGTTTCAAGTAATAAACTATAGTTGGTGTCAAAAACAAATTCCAGTCTCCTTGTCTCTTCAGCACAGATGTTTGAGCTTAGCTGCTCAAAGCTGTGCAAGCAGCTTAGATGTTCGCTTTTCTTTAAATTAATGGAAGTCGTGCATCTGACTCCCTTACGTTCCTGGCAAAACTTCTCCGTCTGTAACATTTGCAACTGGAGGGCTGGGATTCAGCAAAATCTTTCTTTGTGATGTTTCAGCAGATATTTTCCTTTTCCTAGACAAATACTTGAACGCCGCCCAGCCTCGCGCTGGGGCCTCCAGCCAGAGGGAGGGCCCAGCACAAGGCCAATATTGACCAGAAGCTCTTGGCTTCTCCTTGCCTTCAGGAGCTGTTGGCTGGACGAGGAACCCAACGTTGCAGTTCGGGTGTATGGGGCTCCTCCACGGGATGGGGGACTGGGTGAGCGCCCCAAGGATGGGCCAGGGAGGGTGGCTTTGGGCTGGGGGCAGGTTACAGGCCAACCCCATCAGGGTGAGGACAGGCACGAGGCCTGTAAACAACTTGAGGAAACATCTGGGTGATGAACCCTGCTCTTGTGAGGTCTGCTGGAAGGACAACGGATTGGGATGCAAGCACTCCTAGGAGATTTCTGGAGGATCTTGTGGATAATTTTGTGACCGGATGGGCCAATTGTATGATGTGCAGCTGGATCTGCTGTTCACTGACAGAGACCTGGATGGGGCTCACATGTTCAATGGCAACTTTGGCCCTAGTGACCCAAAACAGTGAATTTTGAGAATCTGAAAGGTAAGCAAGGAAGGTGAGTAGCAGAGCAGAGCCCTTGGCTGACCTGAGATGTCCCCTGTCACCCTCAGGAGTCCTGCCAGGCAGTGCCCCCTCTCTGGCAGCCTGCTGCCCCCAGCACCAGCCTGGTCCCCCAGAAGCTCAGAGAACCACCTCCTGCTCCAGCTGTGACCTCCAAAAAGCTCCACAGATGAAGAATAAGGGAGCAATCCCCAGCCCTGCCACCCCAACACAAGCCACAGAGGAGTTTCAGCGAGGTTTCTTAGATTAAACAAAAATAACCCAGTGAAAAACTCGCCTGAGTGTTTGCTGTGGCGAGGTTTTGTCGGGAGGAATTGCTTTGGCCTCTCAGGGGGAGGCAGATGGGGAGGACAGATCTGCATTCTTCTTCCTTTTATATGCAGTCACGCTACAGAAGTGTTTACAGGAACTTGGAGAGCCAGAGCAGCACGAGATAAGGCTGGGGCAGAGACAGAAAAAAAAATCAATAAAGGCAGGGGGGGACCACACCATCCCAGGCCCCTTGCACACCATCCCCAGGAGACAGGAGTGTGCAAGAGCATGAGGGGTTGGATGGGGTTGAGTCGGTGGTCCACTGGGGCTGGTGCCAAAACCAGTTGCCAAACATCCCACCATCTGATCTGACGACTGAAGACAGCCCCGTCTTGGTCAGTTTTGACTTCTTGACTTGGGTATCACAGCTACTGCCCTGAAGACGTGCTTCAGCCATCCCAGGTTCTTCCACATGCCTTGATCAGCCTCCAGTTGTGAGAAGTGCCAGTTCTGCCCCAAAATTATTCCTCAGTGGTTGGGGCAGACTGGCGTTTGGGAAGGAAGGAGATGCTTGTTCTTGGCAGAAACCCTTGGATGTCCTTCGTCCTCCTTCCTGGTGTTCTTTGATGGTATCCATCATGCCTGCAGTCGCTGCTTTAATTACAAATGCTAAGAAGTGAAAGAATTTGCCCATCTTAGCACAAGGCAGCTCTGCACACACAAAAAAAAAGATCAATAAACTGCTCTTAAACTGGGCCCCAGCCCACACAAGTGACCTTTTGAGAGGATTTGGAGGGAGGTTGTGGCACAACAGGAACCCTGCCTGGGGAACAATGATGAAGAACAGCCAGCACTGTTGGATCCACAGGGAGAGTCATGTTGTGTCCTCGCTCCAGAGGTGGGATTTGCCCTGGGAACTGCACGAGGTGGGCTTTAAAGCATTTTGGGACCTCCAGGATGATGAGTGGTGTCCATGAGCTGATGGATGAGCCTTCTGCCTACGGCAGGGGGTGCAGTGGAGGGACTGGGGAGCCCCTTCCCAGGCACGGAGCAGGGCATGGGCACCAGCCCCACAATAGGATGTGAACAGTGGTTCCCAGCAGAACTGGCCCCATTTTGCTCTGCGTGTCTTCAAAAACCACACCTGGAGCATTTTCACCCTGAACTAAGCCTCAGCAGAGATCATTGTTCTGGGTATTGTGTAACCAGGTAGACTGGGGCTTTTAGGTTTATTTTACATAACCAGTTCTATTTTTAACTTAATCTGCAATTAATTAGAAAGTGGAGCTTGCTGGATCTGTAATTAGAGTTTCCATTTCCACATTACCTTCCATCCCAGAGGTCTCAGGAAAGTGTGTAGGCTCCACCACGTCCATCCTGTACACCTCCACTGGAGGAAAAAAAAAAAAAAAGAAAAAAAAAAAAAAAGGTTCATCCAAAACAACCCAAAAATGCTGAGAGATCAGTGACTACAGGTGCATCTCACACACGCTGGCATGAACACACACATGCTCTCAGAAACACACACAGGACGGAATGACAAAGAAATGGTTAACCATACCAGCTCATAGGCTTTAATTTTGCAGTGGAAATTCCCTTGGCCTTCCTCCACCCCAGAGCTTCCTTGCATCCTGGTCCTGTTACCCAAGTGGGGCTGAAATGAGTGAAGGAATTAGAATGGAAAAAATTGGTTCTATAGGAGTGCAGGAAAATAATGAAAGCACAATGCATTTAAGGAGCCAGTGTAAAGGAACAGTAAATTATTAATAGTGCCATTACATTCCTGGGCTAAACAATTAGATCCAGCAAGCAATTCCTCCAGAGGAGGCATCAGCAATCAACCCGTGAAAAGCCAATTTGCATTTTTCCCCCTTAACTGTTTTGCAGTTCTCAGCTGGAAGTACAAATTCGGAACAAAACCGGCTTAGGGCTTTTTAGGGAAAACCTATTGCAGGCTGTTGGGGAACAAAGGCACCACAATTTCTGGCAATGTTCACGTTGTATCTCTTCAGATGCAGCAGCGTGGCAGGGGCACTTCTGCACCACGGCTGCCTGCTACTGGAAGAGCCAGCCGCGGCTGGGTTCGCTGTTCGGCTCAAGAAATCCATTTTCATTTGTCTTCATGTCACAGGAAATTTGCATTTTTTCCATGCTCTGCTCCAAAGCCAAGAGGAGATGAGGGCTGTTTTCCACCAGAAAGGATGCTCCTGGATGTCAGTGGCAGCAATCTCAAGTGTGCTGGGGGGAAAAGCCTGGCTCGCCCTGGACAAAGGTCTGGAAATGGGGTCCTGGAGAATCCGAGAGCTCTGGGACATGATCAGTCTCCTGCCAAGGGAACAAACATCTCAGCTTCTCCTCTATTTATTTTCCACAAATGCCTCAGCTTTGCTTGAGCAGCAGGAAGCCATTAATTACCCAGTGACAGTGTTCCACAGGCATCCCTTAATTGAATGCCATTATCCCTTAATTAATTAAATACCAATTAATTACCAGGAACATTGCATGACATGTAACAAATGCCATCAGCTAGTTGAGACAGAATAATTTAAAACCTGGGAAGCACGGCCCAAATAATAATGCTCAGGACGGGGCCAGCAGGGAAAACACAGTGCTCCAGGCACCAGATCCTCCGAGGTGTGGTGGGATGGGCCTGGCAGAGCCCTTGGGACCAGAAAACTGGAGGGGCTTCTGCTATTCAAGCAGGCTTCAAAGCTGGTCCTGGATGGGGTTGAACTGCATTGGTTTTACCATGGGTCCTGGGAACACCCTTCAGAAAACACCACAGTCGACCACTCAGCCCTGCAAAAGTGATGTGGAGGTTTCCCAGGCTGCCTCAGAAACTCAGGCACACGCGATTTAATATACATACATGTAATAAATTGTTGGTATTGGCAGCAGAGAGGGGTGGCATGGAACCAGCTGCCCCGGAGCACCAACCCAGTCCCACCAGTGCGGAGCTGGCAGGCTCCCAGCACAGCCCGGAGATGCTGCAGTGTTTGGGTTTTGAGATGCTGGGGATCGATACCACTGAGCACAGCCACTGGCTGCACCGTATATAAGTTGAAGCCAAGATTTTTTGAATCTTTTCCCCATCCCAAAGCTACCAAAGAGCCACCACAGATGCTGCCCCCACCGGGTGAAGAGCCACAGGCACGGCAGGGACATTTTAGGGGGGGCGGTGATAATGGTTAGGAGTGGGGAAACTTGGAAATGCTCATTATCATTTCAAACACCCAAGTATCTGATCAAATAAGTCATTGTGCAGCCAGCAAGGAGGAAAAAAAAAAAAAGCTTGCTTTGGTTTAATGCATACAATGATTTAATTGACATAATGATCCCGATGCTCCACCAAAGGAATGCTGCAGCCTGAGTTATGTCAAATAAACTCGTTTTTCCTCTTCGGCAATTAAAATGATCTATGTCTATTTTCCAAGCACCACGAGATTGGGATCGATGAACTTTGCAGAAACCTCACATCAGTCAGAAAGGAGCGTGGCGTTAAAAGGAAAAGTTGCACCCACCGGTGGGTAACGGGGCAGGCGGGAGGCAGGATCCGTGTGGAAGGATGGATGGGGCTTGTGAGCAGAGAAGGGGGAGAGAGATCGTCTTCTGCTCAGCTGAGACTAAATCACTCAGTTCCGATGATATTAACACCCAGAAAACCCACCGGGACTCTGCCTACACGAGGAAAACGTATTACAGTCTATAACTAACCCCCATTAGTTACAGGCAGCGCCAGCCTAAGCGCTGCGGGGAAATTAAGCTGCTCCTCTGTTTGTTTAATGCTTTTCTCCACGCTCTCTTATTAGACATCAACAGCTCTGATCCCCTGGGACCCACCTCACCTGGCCAAGGCTGGTGCTTCCAACTATTTCTAACGCTGGGTTTTATTCTAACCCTAGATTTTTTTTATCCCAAAACGTGCTGGGAGCTGGGGGCCAGGAGCGGCTGCCTGGTGGCACCAGGGAGCGGGCACAGACCTCAGGGACATCCCTGCGGGGACCCGAGAGCCCTGTCCTGCTGCTGCAGAGCTGGAAATTGGGAACGTGAGGGGCTTTTGGGTAGCCCTCGTGTTTGTCATGACTGAGAGCATCCAGAGGGACCTGCAGGGGACTGGCCACAGACCCCATGGATAGCAGACACATCGCTGAGGACAACCCAAGACCCAGCTCTTAGCTAAATCTCGTTATTTGCCAGCTAGTGCTGTGTAATTTTGCAGTAATTACACATTACCCACAGGAACGGGAGGCAAATTACAGTGAGGAGATGCAGCAGGACCCACGTGCCACCCAAGATGCAGAAACAGCCGCACACGGTGCCTGCCCTGTAATTCGATAAAACCTGCTCAGGGGATGAGGCAGCATTTATTGTGCAGTTAGTCCTCAAGAAAAAGCAACCAGGGTGTTTCCTGCACGATGGTTTTCCACCAGAGAGGCGGGAGGGCCAGGGAAGATGGAACATCTTGTAAAAAGTCACTGAGAGGGAGGAAAATCAAAAAAAAAAAAGTCTTCTGACACCTCCGTGCTGGATGTCTGGGGCCAAACACGGCCTCCAACACATGAAATAAATAATTTGGTTGTTTCAATGACTTCAAGTTTTACATTTCAGTGAAAGCTGAAGTTAATATTTATTGGCTAGACACTAATAAACACATAGCACCATGCCACGTAAGCGTACAGGCATGGGAAGGGAAAACGCAGCTGGTTTGCAGCTTTCATCATGCTTCACTTTCCCTGAGGTGAAGCAACTTTACCCTGTGGCTTGCCCATTGCTATTTGCAGCACCTCGTGCCTTTGGCATCCTTCGATGGGAAGGAGCTGGGTGCTGCAGGGAGCTCCGGGGATGCAGGGAGGGGAGCAGGATTGGTGCCAGCAAGCTCCTGCCTCATCCCTGCCGATGAATTCCTGCAGCAGCAGTGCATGGGAGCTGGAAACCCTCGCATCCCTCTGCTGGAGCATCTTCTGCCGTGCCCAAAATGCACAAAAATCCCTTTGCACAAAGTCAAGGCTGGCGCCGGTGCAGGACCTCTCCAAACATCCTGGATTAAAAATAAATAAATAAATAAAATAAAATAAAAATTTATAGGTAAAATGTATTGCTTATTTGTCACATGCTGATACAGTTTGATACAGTTCCTATAAAAGCCAGGCACGATCTTGCTGGCAGGTATTAGCACGCAGTTTAGTGCATATAAAAAGCAGATGTGTGCGTAAATGGGGCCCCCGGTGCAATGTTTGGCACTTTCCTTCTGCTGAGAAGAGCTCTTCAAAAATCATATAAAAACTATTTCTGCTGGTTTTCTGGCCAGGATGCCAGGTTATGAGGGGGGGCTGCTTTAAGCTGCGTAAACCACCGACGACTGGGGACAAACAAAAGGAAAGTCAAGAATAAAAAGAGATTTCGAATGCCATCAGCAGCGAGGCTGAGGCTTGGTCCCAGGTCCTCAGCAGGAGAAAGGTGGGAGGAAAGCAGCCAAGCCTTTGGGTTTGTCCACCAAAGCTTGGCCGAGCAGAAGGACCACGTGAAGCCCAGAAGCTGCCGTGAGAGCTAGAAAGTGGCACGGGGGAGTTAAAAATTCATGGCGCAGCCCAACTGCTCGGCTGAGTAAAAATGTGCTTGTAAATCTTGGCAGACCGAGAAAAATCAGATTAAACAGGCAGAGCCCGGTGAGGAGGGGGGAGGCAGCTCGGGTTTGTAGCAGGAGGAAAGGACATCGTCCTGTTAACATTTCTGCCACCAGCCCAGAGAAGCAAAGTGCCTGAGATGTGTTAAATGCCTCTCCTGTTAATAAAGAGTATTTACAGGAATGTTTTCATTGCCAGCTGACATTTCAGTCTCGAGCACAGTGGGGCGGCTGCCACTGAGCAGTGCATTTTTGCATGGGAAATGTTACCTCGATTTTCTCAAGCAAGGACTTAGAGCAAGGGACAACTCGAGGGCTGTGGGGAAAGCCCAGGACTGCGGGGGTTCAGCTGGGCATGAGGTCTCCCACAGTCCCCTGGCACCCCCATCCCCACCTTGCCATCCTGCAGCTTGATGCGAGGGGCTCCTCCAGACCACCTGAAAAAGCAAAGCCAAACGATTTGGATTTCTAACAGCTTATGGCCAGGAAGGTTTCTGGGCTTGATTTACTGATGTCCACCAACACAGCACATGCAGGAGGTGGTTTATGGGCTCAGGTCCCACCAGCCAGCAGGGGTACGGCTGTCCAGAGCGAGGGATGCACAGACGAGCTAAGCAGATGGTGGAAAATGCTCCACTGAATTCAAGCCCGCATCAGCAGAGATGGATTTGGTGGCCTGACATCATTTGTACCTCCACACACTGACACACACCTCGCATCTCAAGCCAGGACGCCGGGTGGTGGCAGGGCAGCAGGTCAGGCTGGAAACCCATTTAGTTTTCTTACAACCAAATACCAGCTGGGGCTGCGCCTCAACCAGTATTTACTGCTTGGGTCAGCAGATCACAGCACTCAGCTCAAGAGAAGACCGTGGCTTCTGGCTCCAGTTTCAATTTGTGCTTTTTTCTTGGGGGAAAAAATCCTGGTTCAAGTGAGCTGGGAGGTGAAATCTTCCTGAAATGCCTGAAAAGGGATATTCTCAAACACTGCTACACAAAATGGCAGGATCAGTGGATATAGTCTCTAGAATCCTTTTTTCTTTTAAAGACAGAGGAAAATTTCTTTGGAAATGAGGTGAGCGGGATGTTTTGTTTTGGTATTTCTCCTTGCTAGTGTGTAAGCACATACTGCTGCTGTCCAGAGACGAATGACTTGCAAAAAGTGTTACAGAGATCACACTGAGAAGAACTGAGGCTTATGCGGGGTGTTTGGTTTTAATCACTTAAGGTGATGCTGCTGTTTGTTATAACTCCGTGTGCTTATTAAGCATAGTAGGAATTTATTTCTATTTGCACCCCTGATTTCTGTTTGCAGTCACTTGCCCACAAGCCCAGGACTTTGGGCTCCAGCTGAGCACGGGCAGTATTGAAGAACCCATAAAGCATCTCGGTGGCTATAGCCCACCCCATCCTCCGGAGAAACCAGAACACAGACAAAAGCAGTAAAGAAATGCTTGGCCAGAAAACTGAGACCAGGAGTCAAACGTTTCCACAAATAACCCCACAAAGCTCTGCGCTAGCCCTGAAACCGCCGGCCTGAAGGATGGGCAGACAGACAAAATTCCTGCCTCCTGGGAAATTACGGCTCTCTGACGTTTGGTTAGACAGACGAGGGAACAGCAACACATTTTGTAAAGAGAACTCCGAAGATGCTTGGCTGAAAGAGAAAATCTCCGACTTGGAGCCCTGACCGAGGAGAAAGCCCGAGTGTGCCAGGAGGCGGCCGGCTGCCAGGAGCCCCGGCTCTGCTCCCGGCTCTCTGCAGGGCAGGCGCGATGGCAGCGGGACGAGCAGATGGCAGAGGCAGGAACAAAAGCGGAGCCCCACAGAGAAACCTTTGGGCAGATGGGAAGAAGGCAGGGAGGGAGGTTTCTAGGGGAACAGAGGTGTTTTTCCCGCAGGAATGACCCAGACAGGGAGACAAAGGCGAGCGCCAGGAGGATGGCACGGGTGATGCTGCCAGATGCAGTCACAGGTCGAGGCTGCCACTGCCAAGAGGTGCTGGGCAGAGCCCTGGTGGGAAGGGCACGATGCACGGCATGCAGGGGCTGTTCTGCCTCGCTTGAGCCTCATCAGGAGAGATGCCCTTCATCCCATTAAGCCATCTTTATCAACTCACTCCATAGGTGCCTTTCAGCGGTGCTCACACGGAGCAGGCACACGTCGGAGCCATTAATCTTCACTGGTCCCATCGTGGGGAGGAACTCGCCATGAATATTACTGAGCTGCTGGGGGCTGCAATGCTGGGGACAGCACAAGGACCCACACAGCACGTGGGGGCACATCGGGGCTCCAGCAGACAGGCCTGGCCTCCCCTGGGGCGGAGGTGATGCCCGGCCTCTGCTCCAGGGTAGGGACGTGGGTATCGAAGGGACCTGGCTCAGGAAAGACCTTGATCTTTATGGAAAATGCTCCTGCCTTTCCCTGGGACCCCCCAGCTCAGCATCTCTCGCAGGATTTAGCTCTTGCTGCAGGCAGAGTGCTGCACCACAAAATAACGCAGCCTCCACGAGGCGAGAGGCACCGCGCAGTGCTGGAAGAGCTGGTGAGGAGCATTAAAAATAAACAAGGAAAAAGGAAAAATCTGTAAAGACAGCACCTCCCAGGCTGCCCCCATCCCCAGCAGTCGCTCGCTGCTCTCTTTCCATCTCTTCCCACCAACCCCCTGGAGACCTCGCAGTGAACGAGGCACAGAGAGATGCGAGCAAACAAGACGCGAGCGCTCACATCTCGTGTTTTTGTAGCATTTCTCCTGACCGCAGAGGAATGCCTTTGAAACCAAACTCTCCGGAAAAGGCAGCGCTCGGGAAATTGCGTGGGTATTATGTTGTTGAACTTGAGGATCGGCGCTAATTGGTGCCCCGCTGAGCAGCTGCAGCGCGGAGCATGGGGCAGGGGAAGGTCGCTCCCCCCCCCGACCTTTCAAACGCTGACCGCAACCCAAGGCGAAAGCAAAATAAGGCAGCGAAGTCTGTGAGCAAATGGGGGTTTGAATCACGGGCTCCTCCCCACATAAAGAGGATGCGTAAATCAAAAGAGACAGCTTCCCACTCCAGCCATGAGCGTGAGCAGCAGGGAAAAAAATTCGAAGGGAGTGCAATTCATCACAGGGCTAATATATGCAAACAGGAGCAAGCAGTTTCCCGTGTTGCAGCAAAGCAGCAGGATCCATAAGACGCCACTGCCGAAGCCTCTCAAGGTCTCTCTTGGCTGGGGAAATCCTGGGTTTGGTGCTGGTGGAGGTCACTGCAGAGCCTGAACCCCACAAAATCAGTGGGGCAAAGCACAGGGCTGTGGTTTGCAGAGGGGCTGGGGATTCCCAGGGCTGCATTTTTTGGGGAATCCAGCTTGGGGTGGTTGGGATGCCTGATTTTCAGAGACCTTGCTCCCCAGGGAACAAAATCAAAAGCTTGTGGGGGGGTCTTTGTAGAAAAGCTGCTGTGCACCACCCAGATGCTGCCGTGCCGGGCTCAGGACGACGCCTTGCACCCCCACAACACAAATGCACTCAGTCAGACACAAATCCTCCCAGTCCTTACATTTGGAAAGAGTAAAAGGGGGGAGTGTGGGATCTGCAGGATGTCCTGGCACACCCACAACCCGGGGCTGTGCCGAGCCAGGACAATGCCTGGGCACATCCATCGTGTTCTTCCCCCTCCCCAGCATTTCCCCCATAACAGCTGGGAAATACAAACCCGAGCGGCTGACGCTTTCCAGCCCCGGCTTCCTAAATAGTGCATGAGGAAGAGAGAGGCTTTCACGCCACATTTCTTCTGATGGTTTAATTTTAAGATATAAATAGCTGCCGCGCACCCCTCCGCCCCTCCTGCCTCGCGGAGCCGGGAGCTGGTCCCATGGGTACCAACGTCCTGCACGGCCACACCAAACCCATCCCCACCTCAAACCTCAGTGACAGTTCTTGGAAAAGCCCAGTTCTGGCCAGGGCAAGCAGCTAGTGCCAAATAACAAGGCCTTGGGACCCTCTGGGGCAAACCACCCTTTGGAGAACCAAGCTCTGGCTGGGTTTTGAAAGAGCTCCAGCCACAGGTGTGGGACACAGTCACCCGGGTGTCCCTCACCTGCTGCTGGTGCAAAGCTCCAGCTGGTGGGAGCGTAAAACAAGAAGAAAAAGAAAGAGGAAGGTTGATGCAGGGGCTAGGTTCTTTCCTCAAAGTGCATCACATCGTGGCAAAGAGCTGCTCAAGTGAAATGGGATTTTTTTTGCCCAAGGTAGGGCAGCAAAAAAAAAACAAAAAAACAATCACGACGAGGACCAGCCACACCTCCTACTTTCTCATTAACTTTCCAGCTGAATCACAGCCCTTCCTCCTTGACTTGACACTTACCCATTAGCCTGATGAGCTGGGTGGGAGTAGCAGCTTGCAACCGCTGCCCAAGGAAATCTATTTCGGGATTATTATACACACTGGATTTTTGCAGTCCCACACTAAAATGCTTTGATCTCCAGAGGGCTGAGGTACTCTCTCTGTTGTAAGATAAATAGGATATGGATTGTCGTATTTATCAACCCCAGTATGGCAGGGGCCACTTCCCTGGTCAGGGGTGGGGTTGGCCCCCCGTGGACCATCACCTCTCTGCTCTCGGAGGAAGGATATTTACTACAAAGAGGTAAAAACAAGCAAAACTTTCCATCCTACCCACTGCTGTCCTCTCCCAGCCATTGCTGAGCCAGGGGAGGAACCGTGGGCTTTAAAAGCCGAGGAGTCCTTGCCAAATCCCTTGAGCTCTCCATTCTCCAGCAACTAGGCCGTACCATCCAATTAATGAATATAGACAGGTCTGATGAAAAATGCATGGCGAATGCACATCTCATCTTGGAAAAGAGACTCTTCCAGGCTAGGAAATGCATCAGTACCTTGAGGTTCACCTGAACGACCTTCAAATTATGGAGAAATTATTCTGCCCCTACGGCGAAGGCCCCGAGTGCTCTGCCCCATCTGGCTGGCACGGTCAAGAAGCGAAAATGCACAGCGCTGTCTGGCCAACATCTCGTGTCAGGGGGACATCTGAGCCCTTCCGCAATAAATAGCCCCTTCCTTGCAGCTTGCAAGGAGTTTTGGTGCCCACACTATCCAAAAAAAAAATAATAATAATAATAATGAAAATTATATTCAACCAGCAAGGAGTGTCTCTGCTGCTTTTTTTAATCCCTGCAAAGCTCCCCCATCCCGGTCAGCCCTGAGCTCCGTTGTGTCATTTTTGGTTTACTGAAAGACAAAAATAACAAAGCGATAAATCCCCCTGGGGAGACAAAAAGCCTCCGTGCTCCCACCTCTAATAACACCACGGCCAGCTTGGGCTCACGGGGATAAGATGAAAAATGCCCTTGGGGCTTCCCAGGATGATTTTTTTTTTGTGTTATCCTTCCCATCTACGTTGTCAGATGCCAGGAGTAATGTGTGCACAGGGATGCAGCCTCCTGCAAAGCTTCCTGCCTCGCTGGGTGCTCACCACGAAGCTGGAAGGGGCTCCGTGGTCCTCGGGCTTTGCCCAAGGGGATGAGGAGTGTTAATGCGGCCTCGGGAACCTCGTGTTCTTGTCAACCCCCAGTGATAAGTGTTCCCAGATGAATAGCTACAGCTCTGCTTAAAGCCAGATCGATAGTTTTTGCTCACTTTTTTTGGTCCCGTTCCCTGAAGCGGAGGCGTTCAGCGATCGCTCCTGCAGACGTATTGCACGAGGAGCAGTTCTGCATGGAAATGAGCTTCCCCGGGAGAGCAAACCTCCGGGTGATGGCTCACGCCTTGGACCGTGCCGTTATGGATGGCGACGGGCTGATGGCAGGGACTGTGAATAATTACTGACCTCATTCAGCAACTGCTGTAATTAGAAACGTTTCTTTCAGGGGGCTCGACCAGGGACCAAAGGAGCGTGTAGCACATGCTCAGAGGACCCAAACCTTAAATGCCCAGATCTCAAGGCTCAGCACCACCCTGGGGAGCAGCCGGCCGGGATTGCTCCCCGCTGCTCCCACCAGGGAATTTGGCAGGAGCCAAATTCCTACTTCTGGGTAGCAAGGAGGGCTCCTGCAGGCTCGGTTTCCTCCAGGCAGGAGCGATGCCAGCTGGAGACCATTGTCACAGGATAATGGGTCCCCTGCTGACGCATCAGCACCGGGGTGAAGCTGAGCCGCTGGTTTCCCACGTAGGAGACGCTCACATCTTGAGGCAGAGCCCCTTGTCTAATGACACTAAATGATTGATGCCGCAGATGCAATCATTTGCTTCGCTGGACGTTGCAGGAGCTGCAGTGACACGCAGGAAAACCCATTACGGAGCTGCTCCATCCTCATCAGCTCCCTCACGCCGCAGGATGCTCGTCTGAGCAGGCAGCAGCCCCTCATCTATAAAACAGCTCCTCATCCAAAATGCATCTTGGCTCAGTACCAGGAGGGTCCCTGACTGGCTGGGCTTTATTTTAGCTTTTGAAATGTTTTTCCTGTCTGCTTCTCTTCTTTTCGCAGGGCGACAAGTCGGAAGGTTTTGCAAGATGATGGGAATTCCCAAATGGTGGTTGCATGGGGGGGACTGCTCCTTGTGCAGAGGCGCTGCACGAAACAAGGCTGTAAGAGCTCTCCTGCCCCAGGGGAGCAAAAAGCCCTCTGAAAACAGTTTCTGCTATCTAAATATTGACAGATTTTTATTTTATTTTTCCTGACCAGGTGGGCTTAAGTGCTGGGTGTCACGGGGGCAAGGTGCTCCGCTCCTCCCAGGGCTCACCTCTGGGGATGCTGCCCTCAGTCCTACAAAAGAGCTCCACGGGGGCTCTCCTTCCCCAGCGCCCTCTCTGCAGGGAAAATGTCAGCAAAGGGAAGGAGGAAGGAGGCCAGGACACCTTCCACCTAAAACCACGAACCCAAGCCTTGCCAGATGCTGCCCAGCCTTTCCCCAGCCCACCACAGCCTTACGGGGTCCGACGGGTGCTGACATCCCACTTGCTGTGAAAAAAACCTCAGGATCTGGTACATTTCCATCCAGAGTTCCCGGAATTGCCTTTTTTTATTTCCAGTAAACACAAAGTGTATTTTTAGTAGGAAAGAAAGCTCACGCTGCTGTCAGCACAGCGCTGGGCTCCTGTTGATACAAGCTAACTGGGGAATCGTGTTCACGCTGCAGTCGGCCAAACTTTTTGCAGTGCCACTTGAAGGGATCAATGAGCCTGGCACATCCTCACCATCAGATTTTGCTGGTGATATCCAAGCTTGTGCTAAATTAGGCTAATCCCTGGCTTTCAGAAGCAGATGTAAGCTCTGCCACTGGCATGCTCCGAGCGCCGAGGGACTAAATGCTCCCAAAATGTGGATTTTGCAGTGCTCGTTTTGATTGAGTGGTTCCATTGCAGGGAGCCACCTCTCTGGGGACTTGTGGTGTTTCTCCTCCTCCTGGCAACTCCCAGACTTGTGGTTGAGAGTGAAGTGCCAGGTGCCTTGGGAAGATGAGACCATGTTCTTCCCCTCCAGCTGTCTTGGTGGGACCAACACCTGGTTGCATGTGCTCATGGACAGCAAGTAGCACCTCTCCTTGAAGGCAGGTGGTGCTCAGAGCACCAGAAAGTCATCACACCTTGCTTCCTGGGTGTAAAAGAGATCAAAACACAGCCCACGTTAATTGTGCTGCCCTGGACATCAGCATCCCTGCAGTGCCAGTGGAGGGAGCTCCAGCAGATGACACAGAAGCGAGGACGGGGAGCTGGGGCATGCAGCTGGGCTGGCTGCTCCTCAGAGCTGTGTGACACCTCTGTCTGCAGGGAATTTTGTCCAAAAGGGAAAGGAGAGGAGAGAGGCCTTGGTAACTGCAAACTGAGGTCAAATCTGACAAATAGCTCTAGTCCGAAACACGAGGGGAAACCTCTCTGAAAGTGGCAGGACATCTGTTGACATTTCTATAAGTGTTCCCATTTGACCTTCTCTTATGATACTTCAGGATTTCCTGGCTTTAGGGCAACATTTTCTTCCTTTAAAATGACATCTGCTCTTTTTTTCCATTTTAAAGGCCCCTGTGAAGCACAGAACTCCAGTAACCCCAACACAATGCTTGGCTTGGGCTGCGCAAAAAGCATGGGAGGATACAAAAGTTCCTCCTTCCTTCACTCTTCCCAGACCACATCAACCCCTGATTTCTGCTTAATCGGCTCAAACCTTCTCTCTCTGCTTGTGCTTAGTCTAAGGAGTCTCCCATTTCCCCACATTTAACCATATTTTGATTTTTCCTGGCCAACGTGAGCCTGAGCAGGGCACGGCGCCGCAGCACAGGGAGGAGGTAGGAGCTGATACACTGATGATGATGCACTTTTCTCCTGGTAACATCGTCCAACAAGCCAACTGAGTGGAAGATTAGAAACAATAAAATGAAATAAATAAAAAATCACCTGCTTGCTTTCAGGGGCCCCGGTTGAAAGCTGGGATTGGAGAAGGCAGCCCTCCCGCTCCTCCCCTGCCCTCCTTCCTGCATGCTGCTGCAAACCGTGGTGCCAGATATTCCCCGAGGAGCTGGCCCCTTCCCTCACCCAGCTCTGTCTGCGTGCTCGGAAGAAAGTCCTGATTTTAGCAGGATGTAAGCGATATCACAGCACGTTAGAGAAATATTGGCTTGCAATGGCTCCAACGCTGTCAAAGCTCTGGGAAAGATACAGCCACCGCAGGTGGGGTTACCCGGTGTTCGTTGAAGTTATTAAATCTGAGAAAATATCTGCTGGGCGGCGAGTCCCCTCGTGGGGAGATAGGGATTTGTGAAGTGCTTGCGGGCTGAAAGTCCAAGAGCTGCTTCTGCTTCTGTGGGAGATAACCAGGTACAGGAGATAACCGGGTACCCGTGGGAGCCGTCTCCATCAGCCCCACCAGGAGAGGTGCAGGGGGCTGAGCACGGCCCCTGCCGAGGGCAGCAGGACAAGGTGGCTCTGTGCAGCTCAGAAAGGAGGGCTTGGGGTGGGAATTGGTAGCGGAGAAGGGACAGGAGGTGCCGAAATGCTCCAGGAGCCGAGCTGGACAGGGGCTCTGCATCGCTCCCCGGCAGCGCTGGGGGAGCCGTAAACGCCACCGGCGCCATCCGCAGTGCCTGATTTATGAACCCTGCGCCCCTCCTGCACAGCGCCGTCCTTCCTGCTCACAGCATCATCCCAGGCAGCAGTTCAGGTCCCTTGCTGCATCCCCCACGCGCTGTCTGGCCGCTGGGATGAAGCAGAGGTGCTCCAGCAGGTACCCAGACCGACCTGCCTCCTCCCCAGCGAGGGCGAGCACTAATTGCTGCTGGCATGGAAGCGTTTGTTAGTTATTACACTGGCGAAATCCTAAAACTCATGAGCAACACCTTGCAACAGCGATGCGACGGGAGCTGCAGTGCAGGCAGGAGCTACCTGGGAGCTGCTGCAGAGGCAGGGCTGTGCCCTCTATTTCCTACAGGCCAGCATGCAGAGAGGGACTTTAGATATATATATATATTTTATCTGCAGTCTGCAAGATGTTAGGTCTTGAAAAAACCCAGGCAGGTGGCAATGGCTGCGAGATTCAGGTTAAAGAGAGAAGGTTTCTAACACCCATGGAGGAAGCAAGGCGTGTTCCCAAGGCGGCAGCCCCTCCGCCCAGACAGTCTGTGCCCCGTTCCCAGAAATACGGGATGAGAAATCCCGTGTCCTGCCCGCCTGCACGGCAGGACTCTGGGTGGAGGTGGATCTGATGGGGGGGATTCACAGGAAAACTCCTGCACCTGGCAGAGCTGGGAGCCTGCAAGGAGCCTGCCGCGACCTGGGGGTGGGAGCAGGAGGTTATTTATTTATTTATCGCTTTCTTCCTTCCCACAAACCCCAAAATAAAGCACCCGAAACAAGCTGCGGGCGCAGATCAAGGCCAGCGCAGGCTCTCGGCACCTCCGAGGGGGCGCAGCAGCAGGGGCAGGCAGCGGGTTTGGAGGCAGAGCAGCCTGGCGGGGCTGGCATTTTGCCTCCCGCTTCCTTCGGCGCAGGACGCAAAGGTCACTGCGCCTGCTGCCTCTTTGTGTGCCCACCCCGCTGCCCGCTGCCCGCTGGGATGAAGGCCTGCGGGCGGGCTTTCATCTCCAAGCACTTCAAGCCAAAGCCTCCGGTGTCTCCTCCGGGCTGCGAAGCTGGGGGAAGGAGCTGCCAGGAGCACTCCTACAGCAGGTCTCAGCATCCCGAAGCTCCCGTCGGCTCCCCCGGCAGGTAGGTAGCGGGGTCCCCAGGACATTCCCAGCCCCTTCCCACATCCCCTCAGACGTTCCTGGGGCTGTGGCAATCCCACAAGCTGGAGCACTTGATGCTGGGCTTGTGCTGTGCGTCCTCACTGCCAAAGCTCAGTGACATTTCAACACTCATTTCTCAGCATGCCCTGGATGCATCGTGAGCTTTTTGTAGGGGAATTGTCGCCAGCTACAAGGCTCTGCCCCACAAGGTGATGCTGCAGCTGGGAGGCAGGAGGAGCTGCCCCGGGGCTGTAAGCCTCGTGCCACTCGTCGGGATGCTCGGGTACAGCTGAAGCCATCCAGGAGCCTGCTCACAGAGTCAGAATAAACACCTCAAGGCAGGCAGAAGAGATTTAAACCCTTGGCAGATGGGGATGGCCGGAGCTCCAGGGGATTTGGGTACTGTGCCATTCCTCTCCCCACTGCAGCCCCAGACACCACGCAGTGCTCAGCCCCGTTTTCAGAAGCTGTTTGGGCTCCCACATCCACGGCCAGCAGCCCCACAAGTGCCAGGCACTTGGCTCACAGGCAGGAGCCTGCCTGAGAAGGGGAACCCGTGTCCCTCGGAGGGGGGCTCCTCTCTTTTTGGGGAGTCTCAAGACCACTGCAAATAGAGGGCTAGGGCAAGGTGAGGGCGCACACACACAAATTTTGGCGATGTTATGCCTCTCTCCCAAGCCCAACCCCTTCAGGAACCCCAAAATTTCTTGCAGCCCCCCAGCTTTTGCTGAGGATGAGGTTTCCAAGCATGACACCTCGTGCCTTGGAGGGACAAGAGGAGCAGGGACGTGCCAGCAGACCCCAGCCGGGGCGATGACCAGGCAGGGAGACCCCTGTGACCCGTGGTGACAAGGGGACAGGAGGGGCAGCGTGCTCGCCTGCCTTTCTCCGTAGCTCTCCGGTAGCTCCTGTCCTTCCTATTGTCCTTCCTGGCCTAGAAAGCTGGAAATAATAGCAAAAATAAAAATAAATAAATAAATTTCAGGAGCTCAGAAGACGTGCAGCAAGCAGCAGAAACACTGACATGCTTTTCCTGGGGGTGCACTGAAGATTTTAAGGAGCCTTGGGAGCTACTTTTAGGGGGAGAAGAGTGGTTTTAGCCTTTTCTTTCCAACCTCGGACTGTCCCTGCTCCAGCCACCGCTGCACAGACCTGCCATCTGCTGGGCTGGCGTCGGTGCGAGCTCTCAGCAGGGCTCTGCGCTGAAAAATACGCTGCTCTTGTCCTGGTGGTACACAGAGATGGGTGGTGGGTGGTTTGGGGAGCCTAAAAATTCACCTTTCTACAGAAATAGCCTCTGTGTGCCTGCAGCTAGGTCACCCTCCTCCTTCAGAAGCCCTGAGGATGTGCCTTTCCCTCGATATGCCCAGATAATTTCATCGGACCTGGTGGCAGCGAACATCGAGTCCTGGACGAACTCCCCCCGGTGCGTCCCTGCGGCCGCGGGGCGGCTTTGCTGGGCAGCTCTCGCTCCTCTGCTGGAGGCAGGGGCCTGCTGCCTGTAAAACAGCTCATTTAATGCACATCCCCGGGCTGCTATCACCCTGGGGAGGACTTGATCCCTGGCAAACACCCCCAGAGCTGGAACCGGAGCGGTGTGGAAGCTCGTTTGTGTGTTAAACACCCGCTGAAGCACCCGGCGGCTCTGGAGATGCGTTGGGTAGGTGGGAGCTCGGTGCTCTGAAGGTGGTGCAGGACCCCCCTGGGTCGGTGTCTGTGTATAAGGGGCTGCCCCAGACCTCCCCAAACCCAGGCTGGGGGCTCCCTTGTGCAGTGCCCCCCCCCCTCCAGCACCGCAGCCTGCTGCAGGAGGGGTGAGCAGAGCCCGGCAGCACCTTGCCCATATTTCACAGCCACCCGTGTCCTCCCCCAAATGCCACCCACCTTCGAGGAGGCTTTAATTGATTCCTTCCCCAGCCCCTGCTTCGTTCCTTGCTCATGAGCGTTATTAATTGCCGCCCGCCCTCCCTGTGGGTATGATCCAGCGAGGACAGCTGTGCCCTTCACTCCGTGGCAGCGCTCATGAATCTTCTTCGAGGAGGAACGGGAAAGCCCTGGAGGACCATGAGCCCAAATTGAGCTTCGAAGAAAAGTTCAGGATGTTTGGCAAAACCTCCTCTAGCCTTGGAGTAACCTTAAAGGGGCCGGATTGTCTTCTCCACTGCTCTTCCAGCAAATCCGTGAGAGCTCTGGAGAGCTCAGTCAGCTCCGAAGGGCTTGCCCAGCGGGCTTGGTTTTCAATTTATGCTTCAGATCTAATGACGGGGCTATTTTTCAAAAGGGACACCCCAGCCTCCTTAGGAGCAATGCAATTGCTGGTACAGCCTGCTCACACCTCCTGACGAGCCCTGTCCCCGCTGATGGATGGTGTTAATTACAGGAGCAGCCCAGGGGAAGGGTCCTCCAAGCACTTAGCAGCCCTCTGGGTGACAATATAAGCGTTTCTTGCCAAAAAGCTGAAGCCATCAGCATCAGGAAAAGGTGTCCTCAGAAGGTGTAGCAGAAGCATGTTGCCTTTTTGGCAAATTCCTGCTTGATGGCAGCATCAGGGTGTTTCCTAGGGCAGCTCTGAGGCTCTGTGAGGACTCTACAGGTGCCTGACGATGGGGTGGGACAGGCTAGAAATCTGTCTTCTGCCTAAAGCCACAGCTTTAAAAAATCTTAGCCATCTGCCTGGCTAGGAAACCCCGAAATGAAGAGTTTAGGGTGGCAGCACCTCGCTTGGAGGAGATCTCACAGCAGACTTCCTCAGTTTTGAAGCTGCTCCTCTAAGCTGAGCTCCAGCAGCAGGTGTAGCTTAGAGAGCCAGCAAACCTGCTTTTTACTTGCATTGCAGGAAAGCAAGCCCTGCCCCCAGCTGGTCACAAGGAATCGCAGCTTCCCACCTGGCCCACAGGCCCCAAATGGGCAGCTTCTCGCCCCATTTGAGGTGTCTGCCCAGCCTCCTCGCCCTGCCTTGCCTGTCCCTTGCCTTGGGTGGGTGCAGCTGCGGTCCCCAGGGTGCCCCAGCCCCTGCGGGAAGGACCCACGGACACACAGGACCCCCAGACACGAGTGTTGCTCTGCAGGTTGTGTCTGGAAGTAGCCGGGCAATAGGGTCGGGGCCTTTTCTCTTCTTTTCCTGGCCCTCCTGGGGGCATACACGTAACGCGGGATGGGAGGGCTGGACTTGGAGCATCCTGGTCCTGGAAGGACTTGATCCTGTGTCCCCTTCCCCTGGCTGGGGGACCAGAAAGGGCTGTGGGACACAAGCTGCAGAAGGATAAGTGGGGATATGTAAAATGAGGCTTTCCCTGGGTGTTTTGCAGCAGGCTGAGCCGGTGCCCCCTGCCCCAGCAGGGCTGGTGTCCCGCTAGGTGGCACAGCAGGACAGGCAGGGCCACCAGCTCCTCCCCAGGGCTGCCTCCAAGCCCTGGGAGCTGCAAACCCACCCCAGCTGCAAGGAGAAGACCCCAAAACCTTGGCACGAAGGCCTGACTCTGCCAGGAGCCTGAGCAAACCTGGCGGAGCGGGCTGGTGTTGTCTATCTTCCAGGAGATGCTTTAAATGGGAGCTTCAGGCATCGCTTGAGCTTCATCTTCCTCCCCTCCTGGGGTTGTTGCACCAATAACTCTGACATCTCTCCTGAAGCATCTGTGGGATCTGCGGGGCTGAGTGCCCCTGGGCACGGTGTGGTACCTGGAGAAGATGGGACGCTTCGTACCTGCTGGCTTCAGCCTGCCACTGGTTTTCTTGCCACGGCCTCAGCCAAAAGCAGGGCTCTGCTGCCCCAAGTGCATCAGTGGCTGGAGGAGCTGAGGGATGAGGGGGATGAGTCTGGGGAAGGAGCCGAGGTGAAGGTCCAGCTGCTTTCACCCTAGGCCGGCTGGAGATGGGGCAGGTGGCATCTGGAGCCCTGGTGTGGGAAGACAAAAGCAAAAAGTTCACTGGTGTGATGAGTTGTGAGACCTCGGCACTGGCCCACGCGAGGTGGTAGCCGGTGGGAGGTGGTGGGAGCTTCGTTGGGCCAGCAGGGATATTTCACCCAAATCTCACCCGGTTCATTGCACACAGCCACGTTTCTCTCCAAACAGCCCACGCCAGCAGCTTGAGGTCAGGGTTTTCTTCAAAGCAGAGGCAGCTCTGGAGAAAGGTGGCTTGGGAAGCAGGGATGGTGCGACCCTGCTGGTGCCCGAGCCAGGGGAACCATCGGAAAGCCCTGGCAGGGTTTTGGGATGAGCCAAAAAGCAAAGGGACTTGACAGCAGTGCTGGGAGCCGATTCTCCTGCTCCGGGGCCCCTCCACTTCCCGCGGCCCCAGGTAGTGCTTGGGTCTCCTTGGTGAAGGATTAGGGGATTAGAGGGTTCAGGTGAGCACTGGGCACACGATTGGGTTTCTCCCCGAGCGGCACCATTTGTGGGAAGCTGTCCCGCTGCCGGCATGTGCCCAGGGAAGGGAGGAGCAGGAGGGGAAGCTCCGTCCCACCACAATGGGCACTGGGATGCTCAGGGTGAGGGCCAGCAGCTGTCCTGGCCCTAAAGAGCTCGTAGGGTTTCCCACCACCTCGGCTCAGCTCTCGTGGTCGGCTGCTGTCCCCCGGTGTCTCCGTGCTGGTCCTGCAGCTCATGAGTTGCCTGAGCATTGCCTCCCATCAGATCCACAAGCTTCATGGGGTCTGCATCCCTCACAAGGCTTTCAGGGCTGCTTTCATCCTTCTGCATCCCATCACTGCTCTCTTCTGTCCTTGCCAAAGTCCTTGGATGCTCGCCTTGCTCTTCTGCTCCCCAGGCTTTTCCCAAAGTGGTTCTAGGGCTGGCTGCATGTTTCCCACCAGAACCTTCCCTCTGGGGCTCAGACTGCCCGGTCTCCTTGGACCACCCCACTGGTCCATAAAGCCACCAACACTACTACTACTAGTTGTAAGGAGCCCACTGCTTGGAGATACTCAGCATGAAGCCGGGTGATGCCCACTGCCAGGCACTCTGCGATCCAAGGAAATGTGTGCGTGGGGATGTTTCCTCCCTGGCTCCATTCCCTGTGTGATATCTGGATGGCCAAGGGGGCAGGGAGTGGGACAAGGGGGCTGTCCTGGTGGAGGTGGGCCGGGGTGGGAGATAGATGACATGGTGGAGCTAGGAAGTGGTGGGAGATAGGTTGTGGGCGCACAGGTGGAAGGAGAAAACACCTGGAAAAGGAGGATTTCTCCCAAAATTACCTCTCCTCCCACAGGGACAAGCCAGCCCTGCAGGGAGCAGGGGATGGGGACCCCTGTGGCCAGGGGACCCCAAGGTGTCCCCATCGCTGGGCTCTGGGGCTGTATGGGGCTCAGCAGCCGGCGGTGGCCAGGGCTTTTCCAGCTTGCTGCCGGCAGCGCTGTTTGCCTGCCGTTATTTAAGCATTCATCTTGTTCAAGCACCACTTCAGGGCAGGCTGCCGGCTGCCCCAGCGCTGCAGGGCTGGCCGTATCTTGCCAAAAAGCAACAAGAGCCTTCCTCCTCCCCTCCCTCACTTTCCCCAGGGCCTCTATTACCCCAAATAAACACTCACTTTGGGTAATAGTTAACTTTAATGGCTCGGTCCTGGCTTCGGCTACACGATAGGGCACCACGGGGAGCCTTGAGGGGTTTATAGTCCTCGGGACGGAGGAGATAAGGGAGGCTGGAAGGGAAGCGCTCGTGGCTGCTGTCACGGCGTCGTTCCCACCGGCGGAGGGGCAGCCACGGGCCTCTCTCCACCTCCGGCTCCAAATTTTAGCCCTCCTTGGTTGCTCCCCTTCCAGCCCTTGCATTTTACAGGAGACGGGAGGCTGCCGAGGCCTCCACAGGGCTGACCCCAGGCTGTGTGAGCACCAGCCCAGCCCCGGGGCCTGGCAGGGAGCAGGCAGGCCCCTCCATGCCCCACCGGGAGCCACTTCTCTGCCGAGCTGCAGAGATACCTGACCAACCCGCCCGGCAGCTCTGTCTCCCTGAATTGTGTTTTCCCGAGTCAATGGATAACTTTACAGCCCCCGGAGAAGAAAACATCAAACAGCACAACCTTGGGCAGACAGCTATCGGCGGCGGGGCAGACGGGCCGCGTTAGTCACCGGGGGTGGGGGGACGCCGATAAAGTTCAACACCAATCCCACCCTGAAAGTCACTGCCATGGCCACTGGCGAAGCTCGGCCTTGTGGCCTGGGACACCTCTGTGGGCCTCCATCTTCACCAGATCCCCGCCACATGGCCCATCTCCACCGAGCCCACCCCACCACCCGTCTCATTGCCTCCCTGTCACTTCCCAGCACTGCTTCCAACACCAGGACAAGACACCCTGGGCACCCATGGGTGCTCCCCAGGGTGTGGCGGCCCAGCACACAAAGCTGGGCCCCCTCCTCAGGTTTTTGTCTCCCCCCGCCTCCTCCTTCCCTCCCTGTCCTTGACCAGCCGCGATCTTGGCATTCCTGCGGCTTTACAGCCCCATAACCGCGCTGGGACAGGCAGCGGGATCCAGGCAGGGTTTTACAGCCCCATTGCTTCATCGCAGGAGCACAAACAAGGCCAGGACGGCACCGGCGGCGGGGGGAGGCTGCAGCAGTGAAAGTCATGGGGGGGCAAAGGGGTCCGCAGGCCAGGAGAGGGGCTTTTGGCAGGGTGAGGCCCTTGTGCACTGTCTTGAGGGCCCATTGGAGAGGATATTGGTTTTTTTTTTAATCACCGCTTTCTCCTCTGTGTTTCCAGGACCCTTCGCAGAGTCTTGCAGCTCTCCCTTGGTGCTGCCCAGCACAAAACTCCCCATGCTGTGTCCTCTCGGGACATCCCAGCCTGCCTTCGAGATGTCCCCACCAGCCCTGAGGCAGCGGCTGGCCCTCGCATGGCAGCGGCAGGAAGGAGCAGCGCATCACCACCCCTAGGAAAACTGGGGCTGGGGAGAGGGAAAAGGCAAAGATGGGGAACCGGGGGCATGCAGCCCCTTTCCTCAGTGCTCCAACGGGGACAGCCCTGCTGGCCTTGGCTGCCTGCTGTCCTCCGCGTGCTCCAGCCAGCCCTGTCCCTCAAAACCGGGGATGGAGCAAATCAATCTTGGCAAAGGGGGACAGAGATCGGTGAGCAGAGACAGACAGCCACGGGTGGGCTCAGGAGGCTGCAGGCCATGGCTCTGGGGAGATCCCATCCCAGAGCGGCACCACCATGGATGAGGAGAGAAGGGGCCCCGCAGCCCCATCCACGCTGTGATGCTCTCTGTGGGTTCCTCACTGCAGCTGTGCTGAGGAAAGCCATGCTGGTTTCACATGCAATAAAAAAGCCACTCTCTGGACTTTCATGACATCACGACAGATCTTTCCTCTTCTTCTCGATCTCACCAGGGACAGCTTGGCTTCGCAGCTAGAGACAAAGTCCGGGGCACAACGGTGTGCCAAAGGGCAAGCTGCAATGCATGGCAGGAGGAGCTGGATGGGTGCGGGGTGCTTGGGCAGGTGACGCCTCTCACCACAGGAGCTGGGAAGGTTTTCAGCAAAGAGGAACAGCCTCCTGGCTCCGTCCATACCAGCCAGCATGAGAACATACATCAAAAGGAGTTCCCGCAAACACTTGCAGAGCAGGAGATGGCTTCACAGGTGTGTGGCTGGACATCCCTTGTCTTAATCAGGTCATCCTGTGGGTGATAGCGAAGTCTGGAAACAGCCAAGGGAGGAGAACTTGGAAAGAAAACACAATGCAACACCTGGGGGTTGTCTAAAAGCCATAGGAGAAGGGTGTCAGACAGCTCCTCAGCACCGCAACACACCTCCAGCTGAGGGAACTTAGCTGCTGGGAGGAAGAGGAGGTTTTCCACGGAAAATATGACTATAAGGCAAGGCCTATGGCAAGCAATAAGAAATCGTTGCTTTTAATGTGGAATAAGGCTCACGACCACACAAGAGTAGCCAGGAGGCAATCATGGGAAGTGGTCACAAAGGTGCTGGAGAAAGCACATGTGGTCCAGCCAGGAACAGCTTAGTTCAGCCTGTGTATACACGTATATGTAATATATATTATATGTATTTATGTACACAGGCTGATTATCTATCTATATATGCACCTACAAATACATATTTTTAATATTTGCACGTTTCTGTAAGTGCCAGGTGCATGCATGCACAAGGCGTGAGCTCAACAGCCCCTGCTGAAGCGCAGCTGTCTGTTTGCATATGTATAAACCTGTGTATATACACACACAGAAGGACACAGAAGGGGATTTTTGACTGCCACCTCCCCAGCTCAGCACTTCCTTGTCCTGCCTCCTGTCCTTCCTTGTCTTGTCTCCCTCCTCTGGAGGAGGAGGATGCTTGTGCTCCACTCCTGCTTGGCCCAGGGATGCTCCTTCTTCCCTTCCAGGGCAAATGGTGTGGGCAGGCTGGGATGCCCTCCACGAGCCAAGCATTCATGGAGAGAAAAAAGTGCCCCCTGCCCTCCTCCTTCTCTGCACGGCACCGCAATGTCGGCTGGAGGAAGCGCTCAGCATTCCTCCAAAGTGTCAGCCTGGGCCATGTAATGGCACTCACTGCGTTGCCTGGTGCTGTGGGTTAACGCCACGCACTGATCCTGCCCCGCTCCGGTACCTTCTTGCCTAACCCAGCCTAACAAAAAGCTTTTCTCCTTTTATTAAGCCCATAAAATCAACACACGCATGCACGGGCAGCAGCAGGCAAAGGTAACAGGGAGCATTTGCAACGGGAGGGGAGAGAGAAGAGAGACAAGGTCGCCATGTGATAAAATTTTATTACAAAATATTAGATAGATTAAAAGTCGTAGGGAGTTTCGGAGTTGGGGGGCTGTGTAACAAACAAAAAGCATCACTGGAAAAATAAACCTTCTACCCAAGTTTTCCAGGTCCCAAACATTTTTTCTCGCTGTGCTCGTCTCGGGCAGTGAACGATCAAGTCCAGCCCGCACAGCCCCGCCAAGCGATGCGGTGCTTTCCTATTTACAGCCTCTTTCTGCTATGATACAAGCGCCTCCCGGCTGCCAAAAGCCAGGTTTGTTCTGCACAAAGCATGGAAATGTCACAGGAGAAGACCCCCGGGGTCACAAACCTTCCCCAGTGCCACCTGCGTGCCCTCCCTCCGCATCCCTCCCACCTGCCCCAGCTGCTGGGGCTCACGGGCAGCACCGAGTGCATGGTTGGAGGCAGAAATGGGGGAATAAAAGCCGAGGCGTTGCTGTGGACTCTTTCCTTTGTTATTGAGTGTTGCCTTTGCGCTAGTAAAACATTTGCATGGCAGCATTTTGCATGCGGACCAGAGGTGCAGAGCTGCACAGGGGTGGGGTTTGCGTTAAGACACGTCTTCCCCTGCCATCCCCTCATCAAAAAATAATCTCAAATACAACAAATATATATATATATATCTATGTGAGGATGAGCAGGTGCATTTTTTTCTGTAGTAAAAAAACAAAAACAAAAACACAGGATCATTGGGAAAATTATTCCAAATTCCCCTAAAGACTTAAAGCTGCCTGTTGCTTGGTTTGGCTTTCGCTCTTCGCCAGCAAACGGGTTTTGCACCCCGAGAGCTGGAAGTGGCGGTGGCTGGAGGTTTGTCTCCCCAAAATAAAAGGGGAGGCAATGAAACCCCTCCGGGAGGGCACATGAGGTGACACTGGGAGGTTCAGCCTCGCCTGGAGGCTGGCGGTCACAGCACGCAGCAGGGGGATGAGGACAGGACTGGTCCCAGCACGGTGGCGTTGGGTTCCCACCAGCCCCACCGAGCCTGTAGACACTGGCAGCGGCTGGCTGGGGCATCTCCTGCACTACCCTGGATTCCTTTGGGGTGAGCTCAACCCACCCAAGAAAGGAGAAACACCGCCGTGTTTGTGCCAGAGGGGGGTTTCCATAGGCAAGGACTTCCCCCTCTGCCCTGACCCTGCTCTGTGGGTCTCCAAATAGAAGCTAGAGGGGAAACCAGTGCTCCTCCCAGACCCCAGTGCAGGTGGAGACCCCACAGCCTACAAGGTGGAGAGGGGACAAGCCCGTTCCCAGCCTCAGCACCGAGGAAGCCTGGCAAGTCACCCGCCAATTCAGTGCGCCGGGGTGCACCTCACCCCTCCACCCCTTCCTGCTGGGTGCCACGGGACAGGAGGAGGACGACACCGTGCTCACACAAAGACCTCACTGCTGCCAGGCTCATGCCATGCCACATCATCCCAAAAGCTTCAACCTCTTCCTCCTGGCACGGCAGGACGGGCTGTGTGCGCCGCAGGTGGGACCAGCTTTACTCATCGAAGGCAAAGAGCCACCAGGAACCTGGCCGCGGATTTTGGCTAACCTGCAGCTGGGGCCCTTCCTTCACATTTCCACCGCCTGAAGATGCTGCGGGTCGGTTCCTGGCAAGGAGACACCTCCACCCGCATGTCCCTTCCATTTGTTCAAGGAAGAACAAAAGGGGAGCTGGGAGGGGGTGGAGGTGGAAATCAATATTCTGTTGAGCACGCCGGGCCCGTTTATTTGTTCCTGATTTATTTATTACCTCCATGGCTGCTGGTTAAACTGGCATGGCCTGGTCCTTGTTCTGCCCATGCTTCACCCCTGGTAGGCTTTGAAGAGGAGCTGAGGTGCCCCACGCATCACAGCACCCAAGGAAGAGGAGGACAGTGCCTTGCAGAGCCCGGGGCAGGGAGCCGGTGAGGTAGGTAACACGATCACAGTCTGAACAGCAGGATTTATCGGAATTTGTTATGAAGATGCCTGTTTGTTTTTTTTTTTCCTCTTCCCTTTCTGTATGAACTTGGTGAAACGGCGACAGTGCACCGTCAGTGATTGGCAACGACTGGGTCTTCGTGTGCGTGGTGAAGGCAGGGGCAGAAGCTGCCCGCTGGAGGAGAGGCACGGCGTGTTCTGGGAAGCCAGGGCTTACGGGTGGGTCTTCTGCTCCAAGACCCACCCTGGTCCTCCCAGAGTCCCCCGGAGTCACATTTCGTATTGGAAGTGGAAATGCTAAGGACACAACCAGGAAACCTGGCACTCACAGCTGGTGGCCAGCAAACCAGGGGTGGGCTCGATGGGACAGAGCTTTTGTCACCCGCTTCTGCGCCGTCCCTTGCTTGAAGGCACGTCAGGTCAGTACTTCATGCTTTCTTCCATGCCCCCAGAGACACTGGGGTTGTCAACCCAAGCAGCCCCGCTCCTGCGCATCACCAGTGCCATCCACAGCCATGACACGGGGCAGTCCAAGAGGGTGGCACCGATGGTGGCACCTCCCAGGCCCACCAGCCCATCCCAGCCCTCCTCGGGCTCCCCAAAGGCACCACCCGAGAGGGGCAAAACGTCCCCACGAGCTCAGGATGCGAAGGACAGCTGCTCCCAAGTGACAAATAAATAGCAGGTTTGCTGGAAGAAAGCCCTTTGCCATCCAAGGCCCATCGCCCCAGTGCTGCAGGGAGCCTCGTCGCAAGATCAGTCTAATTATCATTTCTTTTTAATGAGATTTCTTTTAAAACCAGGAACAGCGGGGACGGGGCTCGCTCGCTGCCCTGCCGGTTGATCTCAGCGTGGGGTTGTTCCTATGTACAAGCGGAGGAGAGGTCCCCTCGGGGAAGAGTTCCCAGCTGCTCTCGGAGACGTGGCGGTGGCGGTGGCCCCCTAGTTCTGGTGCCGCTTCATGTGGAGGGCCAGGTGGTCGGAGCGGGAGAAGCAGCGGCCGCAGGCCATGCACTTGAAGGGTTTGGCGCCCGTGTGCTTGCGGTAGTGCCGGGTCAGCTCGTCGGAGCGGGCGAAGCGCCAGTCGCAGCCTTCCCAGGTGCACTTGTAGGGCTTCTCGCCTGCGGGAAGGGGACACAGGTCACCATGTGCCCACGGGGGACACCGCAGCCACCCACCCACCCTGCGCCCATCCCCGTGCTGGTGCTCTGCGCTACCAAGGGGCACTGCCACGGGAGGCCCTCTTGGGTAACAGAGCATTTTGGCAGAGAAATCTCCCAGAGCTCTTCTCTTTTTCAGCCTGAAAAGCCCCAGATGGCTCTTTTTGCCGTTGATACGGGATCAGGGCACACCAAGAAGAAGGGGCTCCCCGGAGCCTCGCATCCCCCCCGCAGCCGCCTCCCTGCCGCGCAGCAGCTGGCTGCAGGCAGGACATTGTGTTTGCACCACATCACCACGGTCGGGCGGGCTGATGTCATGCCTCCTCCCCGCACACCTATTCCCCAGCCCCGACCGAAATCAATGCCATTGTGCAACCCCTCCGCCAGCTGGGAACCGGGCTGGAGAAGCCCGTGCCCGCCTGCAGCTCCCAGCCGCCGCACTGAACCCTGGCTGCAGCCCTCTCCCTGCCTGGGCGTGGTGCTCTCAAATATTAGCCCTCGCTCTTAACAGCCTGAACAAGCAGGCAGAGTTCAGGGAATGTGCTGACTTTCCCGACCTCAAATATTTACCGTTTCATCAGCCAATTGCTGAGCGCACCATCGCGGCATGAAGGCACGTACGCACGCAGCATGCATGCACCGGCATGTGCGCGGTGCTCCGGCACGCTGGCTGCTGAGCGGCCGTTCCTGCCCCCGCCCCGCTGCCAGACAGGCTGCGGATTTGGCCAGGAAACAGAAAACACACGGCCAGGGCAAGAGCAGAGGCAGAGGAAATCCTGCAGGGTCGGAAGGGCAGCCGCGGAGCTGGAGGAGATGGGGCAGCGAGGCCGCGTCCTGCTCCCCCCCAAAATGCTGTGTGCCAAAAAGCACGGTGGTTTTATGTTGGGGGTAAATGCAGTGCTTGCAGCTGTACCTGATGGCAGGCTGGGGGGCTGGGGGGCTGCTGGTGATCGTGGTGGCACCCTAAGGCAAAGGTGGGATTCGCTCTGTGCAGCCACATTGTCCCAGGCAGGTGACCCGGCTGGGTCAGCCCCACCAAGGCCCTTTAGCTTCAAACAATACCAGGTTGAGCCCCAGGACGGAGGGAAAATGTTTTCCATTGTCCCACGAGCTGGCTCCATCTCCCAGGACAGCACGGCAGGGCAAGCTCAAACAAAGGGCCCAGGCTGGCATTCCCAGCCCCGGGGGGCGGGGAGCCGCCGGGTTATATATTTAATCTCACAATGGCACCCAGGAAATGAATGGTGTCTCCGGGAGATGAATACAGCCCAGCCCACAGCAACGGGCAAAACCGCAAGCAGAGACCTGGCCGATGCTGAGCTCGGGTCCCATGGGTGCCCTGACCCCCTCCTGGCCCGTGGGCAGCACGAGGTGGGATGGATGCCAGCTGCGTTTGAGGCCCCGCAGTCAAAAACAGAGCAGGAGGCCCCAAAAACTGAACACAGCCCCCTCCAAGCTCACCAGTGCCACCCCTGGGGTTGCGCAGATGAGAACCCAAAGCTCTGGATTCCCGTCTTTTGGCCCCAGCAGCAGCAGCTGTCCTGGCTGCTCAGGTCCCCCCCCCTCTCACAGGTAACCACGCTCGGGTTTCCAGCCGCGTTACTGGGAAACGCGGACAAACAACTGCACTTTATTGGGTTCAAAAAGCGCCCACGTTTGCACGGATACAGCTTTACAGCACGGCTTGCAGGGACGGCGTGTGTCTCCTACGGGCCGTGTCCCCAAGCTGTGCTCCCAGCAGAAGGGAACAAGAAATTTTAGCGGCCCTGATGGCCGTTGTGACAGAGGCGTATCGCCACCGGCCCTCGGCGCCGGGACCGCGTCCTTCCTGCGCCTCGCTGCCACCCCTTGGGTGTCGTTCCCTGCCCGGAGAAATCTTGTGCCCCGTGCACAAAGCAAACCTCCCGGCGGGCTCGTTGGAAGGGCTGATAAGGGGGACACGGAATGGAGCCAAGCGCGAGAGCCGATTCCCAGCCTCAGGACGGGTTTTGTTCGTTGTTCATAAAAAAGAAAAGTGAACTCTGGGCCAGCTTAATTGCTTTCAGTAAAGATCAGCCCTCCTATAAAAGAGATTTATGAGGGCACTGATGGTTCCCGAACTACCTGGGGATCTGATAAAGTTTCAGATATAATAAATGCCTTAATGAGGAGACCTGTGCTTGAATGCACAAGTGAGCTGGGTCTACTCCGGGCCAGCTGGCTGCGGTGGGAGTGCTGGGGCACCAGCCCTCCTCTACCCACAGCACCCTCACCCTGCAACCAACCTCTGCCTGCATTCAGCAGCTGCCCACAGGACAGAGGAGCTCGCCACGAGCCCAAAAAGTCCAGCTGGGGAGCCACGGGGACGCTGGACACCTCCTCAGAGGCTGTTGATGTGCACCACGTGCCAGTTTTTCTGGCGGGATCGGAGCTGGGAGGATTTGGGAGGTGTGGAAGGAAGATCCTTCAGACTGCAGGTGGCGGAGGCTCGGGGACACCTCCTCCTCTTGGCCCATTGGGAGAGCTCCCTGAGGATTTCCTAAATCCCAGACCATCCCTCAGGAAGGCAGGGAAACCACGGAGAGCCTCTGAGAGCCACCCAGCGTGGGGCTGGCAGGGTTTGCTGGTGACTTGGTGCTCTTACCTGTGTGAGTCCTTTGGTGCGCCTTCAGGTGGGAGCTCTTGGTATAAACCTTTGTGCAACCTGCGAAAACAGCAAAGACACAGCTTCTCTGTGAAAAACGGGCCCTCGCTGCAACAAACCTACAGCCTGGGTGTTTGAGGTCAGGGACAGAGCGGGCCTGAAGCGCACACTGGGTAAATAGGATGCAAATAAGCCCGGCCACCCCGTTCTGTTTCAGCAATATCTAAAGAGCGTTTGTTCTCCAAGACAGACAGACAGATGCTGTTCTCCAAGACAGATGAGGGGTGAGATGGACCCCGGCCAGTGGGACACGTTTCAGATCAGCAGCAACAATTTCAATCAGAAACAATTTCAATCTCAGCAGAAACACTGTGATTTCAGCAAACGTCTCAGCAACAGGCCCTGCCAAACCAATGGCTGTCAGTTCGGGTCTAGAAAAACTCCTCGTGCTGCCTTTATGGCCCTGCTTCATTTGGTTTTGACATGTGTATTAAAATACGAATTTGAATTTTTACGACCTGTGTGAGCAGCCCAGCCATATTTTTTTTCTCTTTCCACGCTGTCTAACGAAGCCTCCTGCTGCCTCCGCACCCACTTGCAAAGCACTGTTTATTTTCCCAGCTCTGGCACTGCTTCCCAGCACAACCCCAGGCGTGCAGATGCTGTTTGCCATCCCGGGGAGCCCACAGGTGACAGAGCAGCAGCGTCCCTCACTGCTGGACTTCACAGACACTAAAAGCAGTCCCCGTCCCAAGGGAGATGGCCCCAGGCCTGAAAATGGCTGAACTCTTAACAAAGCTGTGTTCCTCAGAGGGTTTTAGTGAAGGCCCCCAGCCATGCACTGAATTCCTCCTTCCACCAGCTTAACCAGCTTTGGGTCCAACCTCCCAGATGCCAGCAGAGCTCTCAGCAGCCTACATCCCTCGCGACGGCTGCTCACGGAGACTTGGTGGCATTGCAGTGCCCATTTTGGGGCTCCTGGTGGGAGCTGAGTTATGTCCCACCGGTGGATGTGGGCAAAGAGGAGCTGGCCTGTGCAGAGGAAACCCCACCTGACTGGATGGAAACAGGGCTAAAACACGCCCAGCTCCACACAGGAGTAGAGCGTGGCTGAGTTTCATTTCCCTGTGAGCACGCAGAGAAGTGCTGGGGCCACCGCTTGGAGGCTCTTTGGCCAAAACCATAAAAAATAAAATATAAAAAAATAAAAAATAAAAATAAAAGAGAACTGGGGCTCCATGGAGAGACCAAGAAGGCTGCTGATGGAAATCCGTAGATGGTTTGCCAACCCTCCTGGGAAAGAACAGCCAGCCTTGCAGCATGGTTTCACTCCTGGAGAGCACGTGGCTGAGCACACCAGCCCACTGAGGCAGCAGGTTTTTGGGAGCATCCCCATGTTTTGCTGGCACTCCCTGCCTCTCAGAGCCAGGCTTGCCACTGCCAGAGCGGGAAGAGAAAAAGGAGAGGTAGAAAAAAGGCAGGGCCAGCCCCTTCTCTTCCCTTGGTGGGGGTGACCTCGTTTCCCCAGGGCTCTCCACCCAGTGCCGTGCTGCCCTGCCTCGCAGTCAGAGGGGTGCCTGATCCGCAGCCTCCCTGAGCCAAGAAGGGACCCCAACACCAAGCCAGCGCTGTGAGCATACCTGGGTAATCGCAGTGGTGGATCCTCCTTTTCTCCAGCTCAGGGTTGTTGCGTCTGTTGTATTTGGGGGGCTGCATGACAATGTGCCCTTGGGAGAGGCTCCCAAGGCTGTTGGGGACTGGGGGGACCTGGGATGACTGGACCAGCTTCAGTCCAAAAGTGGCTTCGTAGGATGGTGGGGGAGAGATGGTGTTGATGAGCTCTGGTTGATTTTCTGGGCTGCCGGGCTGCGAGTTGGGGGGCGAAGGGGGCAGGTTCACCCCCGGCACGGGGTAAAACTGCCCTGAGATGCTGAAGTTTCCCTGTCCTTGGGAGACATGTGGGTACTGCTTAACCGGCCCTCCGGCTCTGTGGAGCACACTGGACATGGCGTTACCTGTGGACATGGTGACGCCGCTCAGGCTGTTGATGGCTGTGGTGCTGTTGGAGGAGGGGGTCAGCGGGGTCAGGTCAGCGGTGCCACTGCCAAGAGGCAGCTGGTAAAGCTGGGCTTGCTGCGGGCTGCTGGACAGCGGCATCTCAGAGGGCATCTCCTGCTTGATGAAGATGTTGTTGACGGCCACGGACTGGGGCATGCTGAAGACGCTGGTGAAGTCGGGCAGGGTCTGCGTGGAGCCCGCGGTGGAGGAGCAGGGCTGGGCGAAGCTGGTGCCGGGCTCCGTCTTGATCTGCGGGAAGGGGGTGAGGGGCTTGGGGGGCCGGTAAAGTCCCGTGCGCAAGTGCGTGGTGTCGGGCAGGATGACGTTGATGTTCACGCTGTACGGCGTGGAGCTGGGCTTCTCGGAGGAGAAGAACTCATCCACCACCGAGGCGCTCTCCCGGCGGTACTTCTTGTCCGGCATCATGGGGACGGGAGGCACCTGGCTGGAGAGGTACTTGTCCATCTCGGATCGTCCCTGCGGAGGGAAACGCAGAGAGAAGAGAGGTTGTGAGGGGCAGTTTGACATGGCGGTGATGGGAGCTGAACATTCAACAGGAGCTTTGGCTAGAGGGGAACCAGGAGAGAAGCAAGAACAGCCCGTGAGTCAGGCATTTACGATCGGGCTCGGGTGCCTGACTCAGCCCGGGCTGAGTCACCCCGTCCTCTGTCCCACCGCCCTCCGACCTACCTGCAGTGCTACCAAAGGCCGAGCCAGGCTGTAGTTAAGAGAGAAGTTCAGCCTGATAACGAAAAGCCAGGCTTTCGCACAGCGCTTCAGCCACACCAACAAGGGCAGCTAGCCCCGGGCAGAGGATGAAATCAGGAGCTGGACGCATGGGGAGCAGCCCACCTTAGACATGCTGGCTCTGGCCTGCTTTAATGCATGTGCTGCATTTTACTCTAGGACTGAGATGGACAACACCGAGAAAATTAATTGAGGCAATTAATTGAGAGTAATTTGGGCTACAGCCCTAGAAACATAAGCGATGCTGGCACTGGCTCCACAGACTGTGAGCTTAAAACCGAAGTGGCCAGGCATGCCCTCACGGCCTCGTCTTGGTGAAGTGAGTCAGCCCTCACCCAACCTTTGGCTGAGCTCTGCAGGTCTGGTTCTCCAAGCTGACAGGACCTCCAGCTCAGACAGCCACCGCTCGTCAGGGTTCATGCCTGATGCGGCACCCGACTGGATCCAGGCCCGATAATTCAGCAACCTGATGGAGCAATCCGCTAGGAAACTCATCCCCTGGCATTTGATGACTCGAGTTCTGCTCTTTGTGGTTAAAGGCACCAGCGCTAATGCTCCTCTGTAAAGCTACAGCCTTTAATTATGTGGTTACCCCTGTGCCGAGCTCATTGCAAAGCTCTCGTAGGCTCATTCATATGTAGAGGAGCTGGCAAAACCACCAGGCTTCCCTGGCAGAGCCTACAGCGTGCTTCGGGAGCGCAGGCTGCTTCACCCCACGCCCAGCACACTCGAGCCGAGGGCTGTGCAGCTCTGAACTATGCCACCGGGCCAAAGTCATCCCTGCTGCAAGTTCATTGCTTTTATCAGAGCTGGACGGGATCCAAGTTACTCTCCTCGCCCTTTCCAGCGAAATGCATCACCTGTGCTTCCAGTGAATTCAAAGAGCCTTTGCACCTCTGCAAGCCACACTGGCACTGCACGGCTAAGCCGGCCGCCATCCAAACACGGGCACATGCCACCAGTGCTCCCCAATCCTCACGGGTGGAAAAGCAGCGCCCAGGTCTCCTGAAACACCCAAACCTCCTGCAGCATCCACCCCTGCTGCGGCGAGGGCTCAGCAGCAGCGGGAGGGGAAAGCCAGGGACCCTCCTCACCGCCAAAAACCCGGCTGCCTCTCTGCTCCCCGCTGGGAGAGCCGGGCCACAGGCTGGGAGCAGGGTGCTGGGTGCCGCGGCGCTGAGCCCTGCGCCCACCCTGGCACCTCTCCGTACCCCTGGGGTGGGACCGGAGGCTCCGGATGCCGCGCATACCTGAGCGATGAAACGGCCCCACTTGCCGGGGGAGCGGGGCAGGGGGGGAAGGCGCTGGATGCCTTTTATTTCTGAGCTTCCCTTATCTCTGGCATTTGAGTTTCTCACCTTCGGTTCCCAGGCAGGTCTCCCCCACACACACACACGCTCCAGCGGGTCTTTATGCGCTGGGTGGCCGAGCAGGTTATTCAGGGGAGAAAAAAGGGCTCTAAATTTAGATCCCAGCCTGCACCCAGAGCCCCAGAGCCCGTCCATCCGTCCACCTCCTGCACTGCTTGCCCCTGCCCGCTGTCTCCCAGCCCTCTCTCTCTCCTCGGCCCTACCTGCAGATCAAAGTCTCCTTCCTGCCACTCCATGGAGCCTGAGAAATCCACTTCTGATCCTGAGCAGCCCCGGAGTCCCGGGGAAAGGGGGGTGCTAAAGGGCAGCTGGTCAGGGAAGCAAAGCGAAGGGCTTTGATGGGACCGAGCAGGCTGCCAGGGCTGCCCTCGGCTGCAGAACCACTGCGGGGACCCTGCAGGCGAAGGCCCCACCCTGCTGGAATCCAGACGGTCACTATGGTGCTGGTGATGCTCCAGCTCCCACACCACCCCTGGGATGCCCTCGGAATCACCGCTCGGTTTGTTTGTGGCCCAGAAACACCCAGCAACCCATCGGCAGTTCCCCGCTTGCTGGGCGCTGAGCAAATCCCCAGCACCAAATCGTTCGCCCAAGCACCTCCCACCCAACGCTTCACCCAAAAACTGGGCTGACTACGTGCTGGGCTGCCTTCCTGGCGTGCCTGGGTGGGATCCAACTCACGCGTCCCAAACGCAGGAGGAGATACCCACATGTGGAGGAGATACCCACACGTGGAGGAGATACCCACACGTGGAGGAGATACCCACGTAGGTGCCCAGGTGGCTAGCACAGATGGAGACACCATGAGCATGAGGAACGCACCCCTGCCTCTGGGGGTGCTCGGTGAAGGAGCGGAGGTGCCACCATGTCCTCACCACCACGTCCTCACCACCACGTCCTGAGGGGGCTGCTGGATGGGATGGGATGATGGAGGGTGCAGGGGGGTCTCTTACAGGTACCTCTCACGAACAGGGGTAGAAACAAACGGAGGGAGGAAGGAGAAAAGTTCTTCACCTCGAGAATGAGCGGCATCCGCTGTTCCATCCTCATGGGGTGCAGCTGTGGAATAGACAGGGCTGGGTTAGTGGGAAGGTTCCCCCCGAAGCCAGGCCACCTCCCGCACCCCACAAGCATCTTCTATCCCCACAGGCCCCTCCTGGCACCCCCAGGACATGGGTTTTGGGGGCAGCCGGAGGAACAGCCAGCTGTGCAGGGAGACTGAGCAGAAACCCACGCCCCAAGCTGCCCTCTCCAGCACCCCATTTCCATTAGGGTTTCATCAGCAATTCTCCTCGGAGCTTAGCCAGGGCTGGGGAGCCATCCACCAGCACTGGGAGAACCTCCATTTTGAGGTGGGATCACAGCCATGCCATCACCCTCCCTCTGTTCACCAACAGGGATGGTTCTTTGGCTTTTTTTCGGCCTGGCTGCAAGGGGTGGCGAACACCGGGCTCCGTGACAGGATGATCTGAGGGACACGGAGCCTTTGTATCTGCATCTAAATGGAGGCTGTTCCTTGCGGGGAGATGATAACCGCGGCCTTGAGAAGGCAGGTGGTGAAAGGGCGAAGGGCACGGGAGCTGCTGGCCCCACGTGCCGTGGGGAAGCACGAGGAGATGCTTCGGTGTGAAGTCTGGGTCAGAGCTCTAAGGGCTCCAGGGATTTGTGTCCCATCATCTGCAAGGAACAGCTTCAGAAACACCTGCGTGGTGCAGCCAGGCTCCCTCACAGCCTGAGCCTGCCCTACTGCTGCAGCCACCCCTGGTCTTGGGGTCAGCCGGGCCAGGAAACCAACACACCCCCTGCCGAAACACAGCAGCAGAAGCACAAAGGAAGCATCCGAGGGCAAAGCAGGCCAAGCCAGGAGGAAATCCTGCGGAGGCCGGGCCTCTGAGCTCCTCGGCCAGCCTGGGGCAGGGCCTGGTGGCAGGCTGTGGCCCTGCCCAGGGCGGCCTGTGAGAGGGCAGCTGAGGACACTAGGGTGGCTCCCATGAGGCAGGAGCAGCCAGGGATGCTCAGCCTGTCCCTGCCTCCCCGTCTGCCAGGCACAGCAGGGAATTAACCATTTTTTTGCCTTTTTGAGGAGGATTGAACCAATCACATAGTCTCAGCGCCCAGGTCTTCTCATTACTGCCAGAGCCACCTCTGCTGCAGCTCCACGGAGGAAGACTCCGAGGCCTCGCAGATGAAGGACCAGCAGCTCTCTGGTGGGTTCAGTGGCCCAGCTTCCCCTATAGGCATTAATTAGCAGTGCCATCACCACAATCCCTGCAGACGAGGATGATTCGGGCATGCCCCAGCCTCCACCAACTGCATCGACAGCCGTGCCAGGAACCGTAAAGGAGTCATGGGTCACCGGCTGGGGCAAAAAGTGAGCCAAGGGGAAACACAGCCAAAGCAGACATCAACAAAACCTCCGTTCTTGAGAGGCATCTCCTCCAAACTGGGCTTTTTGTTTTGACCAGCAAGGGAAAGCCAAGAAGAATACCTTACGGTGCAATAAAAGAATTCCTGTATTTTCCCCTCAAGGTCACCGTATCTATTTCTGACTGCATAGCAGGGTCTTCTCAACCAGCCAGAGGAAAAAGGGGGAAAAAAAATCCAAGCTGGCAAAGGAAAGGATTCTCCACTGCTTTTTTCTCCCCTGAGTAGATGCTCCTGAGGCCAGCAGGCTCTGCCCCGAGTCCTGCTCTGCCAGCCTCCAGCTTCCAAACACCCCACAGGAGCCTCCTGCCTTGGGAGCCTTCATCACCCCTCATCCAGACCTCACCAAGGCTGAGGAGCTGTCGGGGCATCGATCAACACACAGAGTCCCAGATCTTCCTGCAGGACACACAAAATCGGGTGCGTGAGCCAGCCGGGCCATTTGGGCAGCGGCTGACCCCGAGCAGCGTTAGAGGAGCACGAGGCGCTGCCGAGGCAGGAGGCGGGCCGTGTCACTCCCATGATTAAACGCTTTCTAATCTGAAGTTGATAAATAACAAACCGCCATAGAAACATCAAATGTTGTCACCACGGGGGAACAGGGAGAGAGATCAATGTTTGCTAAACAGGCGACGAGCTCGTGAAGTTGGCAGAGGGAGCAGTGAGGGGGGGGGCAGGGGAGAGAAGGAAGGACTTTCTTCGTTTCTTGGCAGCCTCCAGCCCTCCTGGCCCCAGCCCCTTGCTGCTCTGCCAAGCGGGGGCACCAAGCCCCAAACCCCCTCCCCAGCTCGGGGGGGACCTCCCGGAGCACTGGCACGCGTGGGCCAAGGGCTGCGGTGTTCGGGCCGTGGGATTACGCAGCGCAGGCTCTTTCTCCTGCCTGCACCTGCATGAAACTCCAGCCTCCAAGGGAATCAGCAAACAATGGGGAGGATA